TGATAGCGGATGAAATACATGCAGTTCTTTCGATTCACTGTTCTCTTCTCTTGCAACTACTTGCTAAATCTTGCATTTGCTTTGGGTTTCTACTACTACATGGCAGGTACTATGGTATATCGTCCCTGTCTTTATCTTATCACATCTATTCCTTCCTAGATATACAGATCGTACAGCATCTTACTCCTGCCGAAACATCCTCCGATTAATCCATTCCTCCAACCCCCCTTGGCACCCATACAAGATCTCAATCTCCGCCTTCAGATTCAAAATCAGCATCCGCTGCAATTCAACACGCCACTCTGGCTCCGGTCCATCGCTCGCCCAGACAGGACTGTTCCGAAGCATGGCCATAATCTTCTTACGGTCTCGCGTCGTCAGCGAGAGAAGAGCGGTGTCACCTAGTACCTCCGGAACTGCTATGATGTCTGACACTCGAAGACCCAGCCACTTCAGCCTCGGTATACTAAGCCGAGCATTTTGGTGTAGTTGTGCTGCCGAGCCGTACTTGTACGTCGACATGATGGCCATGCCATGGGGGTCACCATCGGTGAGGGCATAGAAACGGGGCGGATGCCTGCTCGGGTTGGAGACGGAGTCGGACATTGCACGCAGGAACGTTCGTGTCATGAAATCGGGGTATCCTTTTCCCTGTTCGAGTACGTTGAGCTCGGTTGCTCGTTTTGGCGACAGGATATGCTGAAGCAGAGACGCAGCTTACCGTGACCATTATTCCTTCTCCGGCCAATGCTCTGGTGTGGTAACTTATTCGCGCGAGTCGGTGGAAGACTGCCTGTGAACAGGGTGTGAACAGGGACTCAGCGTACTGGTACTGCATATGTGGTCTCTCCATGCCTCATACCTCTTTTTCGATGACCAGTACCCAGCGCACTCTTGAAATATCAATCTCGTCTCCGTCTTCGATGCGAGGAATCAAACTGTCCTCGGTGACAGACTGCGCATCGATCAAAATATGGGAGCCACGGATCAAACGAAAATCTCCCGTCACCAGTCCTTTTGCTGCCGCTTCCTAGAAAGTGGTGCACGAGGTCAGCAGGTTGACTTCGCAGTGATATTCCCAGAGGATCCAGCAGGACTAACCACATTCAATGCCGTTCTGTTCACTCCGATGGTATACGCCAGGTCATCGACAATGCGGTCCACGGTACACTGCACGCGGAAGAATTCCGGGTCGATGTAGTATATGTCTCTGGTGATTGTATGGGTGTGTTCAGCATACCTTCCAGACCGGTTCCTAGACATTGTCAGCTCACCTCTTGGAGATTAGCTGGCCCGTTCGAATAGCTTGGTCCAATATAGCTAGGATTCGAAGGATGACGGCTATCAGAAGACGCAGACTCGGTCAGTTTATCATCTAAGAATGATACCTAGGTTGTGTTCGGATCATGGTAGGAAAGAGCTTACTGAATTTCCAGGCCTCATGTGCCGTCTTTCCTGGCCAAGAGTATTTCCTGTATGTTTCAACTCTAGGACTCGCTTCCAATGCCCCGTTGATGGGGTTGATGATGCAGGCAATTGGGCTGGCTCTGCGCTTGAGGGTGATGGAGATGCTTGCCTCTGCCGGGGACTGTGAGAGTCCGTGGATGAGGGCTGCGAGGGTCTTGTCGATGAATTCTTGGGCTGAGGGATCTCGACCATCGTCTATTTTCAAAGTGTGAATGATTGATGGCTCAACCATTGCCATTGGAGTGGGTTGGGCAAGGTGAGGATGTTCTGGGTTTGAAGGATAAATGTATCTACCCGTGCACCGCCTGAGCATAATGCTTACATGACACTTTCCATAGCATATCCAGATGAATCTGTCATTTGAACGGTGAGTTTTATATAAATAGGGATTCGGTTCATTGCTAGTAAAAAGAAGCCTTTAACTTGCTATGACTTGATCAATAGAGGTCAGAAGGGTTACTGTATGTCGAAGATTTCCATCTCCTTCTTCTCGTCGAATCTAGAATTTATGAATCTAGAATTTATTGCCTTGAGCATCTGTACGCTGAATAGTTTCTTTTGGTCTGCATATCTTTTCTTTGAGGTCTGAGGTTCTTGAAGTTAGTTGTATAGACCTCGGGATGCCAGGCCACACCACCACTACCACTACCGCACCACCATAGGCCCCTATCTTTTGATCAGAACATCCTTGATACCTTCATCCTCCTCTTCATTCTTCTTCTTTCAATCAATTGTTTTCCTGGCCTCATATGATGTAAAACATTCTTCATTCTACACCGCAGTCGTGATACTGATGACTAAGCTTCCCCGGTTTCCCCCGTGCCTTAGCTCCTGAGCTGGTTATCGTCTTTACTAGGTTGGCGAAAAGATCCAATTCCTCATATCATGTCTTCTACTCCTCATATTGGGCCGTGGAGAACACCAGCTGATGGTCATCTCACCCCAGATGCCAATGGAGATCTTAAGACCGATTACTCGCGCTGGCGATTGCTCGATGAGGAAGGCCGTCAGACATGGCGGTATCTCGAATCCGATGTGGAAAACCAAGAATGGCCGCAGTCAGTAGCTGATAAATATCATCTGGGATTGCCAACAGTATTTAACCCTCATTGACAAAAATCTAAATCCTCCAATTTAACGGCGCATTATAGGGTCTTCCAGAGCTGCCACAGGCCAAGACGCCATTGGAAGCTGCCGAGAATGGGCTTTCATTCTTCTCGCATCTGCAACTGGAGCCCGGAAACTGGGCTTGCGAGTACGGTGGCCCTATGTTCTTGCTGCCAGGTATTTTGATTACTTACTATGTGACCAATACCCCTATTCCCCCTGAGTATGCAACGGAGATCAAGCGATACCTGTTTGCCCGTCAGCACCCAGAGGATGGTGGATGGGGTCTGCACATCGAAGGCCACAGCTCTGTATTCGGTACTTGTATGAACTATGTGGCACTGCGCTTGATCGGTGTCAGCGAAGAGGACCCGCGCATGATCAAAGCCCGGGGCCTTTTGCATAAATTTGGAGGTGCGATCTACGGTCCTCATTGGGCTAAGTTCTGGCTCAGCATTCTGGGAGTGATGGAGTGGGAGGGTGTCAACCCAGTTCCCCCTGAGATTTGGTTGGTTCACGCATTGCAACCTGTACAACCTCTCTTTTATTAACCGACTACATAGGCTTCTTCCCGACTGGGTTCCCTTTGCTCCTTGGCGGTGGTGGATTCATATGCGCCAGGTGTTCCTCCCAATGTCTTGGCTGTGGTCTAAACAATGGTCTCACCCTCCAGATGACTTGACAAGACAACTGCGCGAAGAGTTATACACCCAGCCATACAGCTCTGTCGATTTTGCTGCGCATCGCAATTCAATCCACGAGGTGGACAATTACTACCCCAAGACGTGGCTGTTGAATACAGCCAATGAACTGTTGGTTCGGGTCTGGAACCCTTACCTTCGACCCCCCAGTATTGTTAAGCGAGCTGAGGAATGGACCTGGGAATTGATTCGCATGGAAGACGAAAACACCAAATATGCGGGGCTGGGACCCGTCAACAATCCAATGAACATGGTGGCTTGCTTTATCCACGACGGCCCTGACAGTTACTCCGTCCGCCAACACAGGGAGCGGTTGAATGACTATATGTGGGTAAAGAGCGAGGGCATGCTCGCAAACGGCACCAATGGCGTTCAAGTTTGGGATACGGCATTCATCACCCAGGCGGTCGTCGTTGCTGGTTTCGCCGACGATCCCAAATGGCGACCGATGTTGACTAAAGCTCTCGAATTCCTCGAAGACCATCAATTACGAGAGAACGTGCCAGATCAAGAGAAATGTTACCGCCAACACCGCAAGGGTGCTTGGCCATTCAGTACCAAGGACCAAGGCTACACAGTTAGTGATTGCACCGCCGAGGGTCTCCGTTCAACACTCCAGCTGCAGGAGATGCACGGCTTCCCCAAGCTGATCTCCGAACAACGGTTGAAGGACGCTGTCGACTGTCTCTTGCTCATGCAAAACCCAAGCGGCGGCTTCTCCGAGTATGAAATTACCCGCGCTTCACCCAAGGTCGAGTGGCTCAATGCCGCAGAGGTCTTCGGCGGAATCATGATCAGCTACGACCACCCCGAATGCACAACGGCATCTGTTACGGCTCTGTCACTCTTCAGCAAATTCTACCCCGAATATCGCGCCGACGAAATCCGCGCCGCGAAGCAGAAGGCTGTCAGCCACATCAAGCACGTACAGCGTGCCGACGGGAGCTGGTATGGCTCTTGGGGAATCTGCTTCACCTACGCGGCGTTGTTCGCGCTAGAAAGTCTGGCCAGCGTCGGCGAGACATATGAAACGAGCGCCGACTCTCGTCGGGGCTGTGACTTCCTGATCGAGAAGCAGCAGGCGGATGGTGGCTGGGGCGAGTCATACCTTAGTAGCTCAACTCACCAGTATGTTCAGCACGAGAAGTCCCAGGTGTGCCAGACTGCCTGGTCTCTTCTTGGGCTAATGGAAGCGGGCTACCCGCACAAAGAGCCGTTGGAGAGGGGCATCAAGCTGTTGATGTCTCGCCAGCAGCGGAATGGCGAGTGGCTGCAGGAAGCAATCGAGGGAGTATTCAACCAGTCTTGGTAAGCTTGAGCTGTCCTGATCTTCTGGATTTGATTTACTAACAGTAATTCTAGCATGATCTCCTATCCCAACTACAAGTTCTACTGGCCTATCCGTGCCTTGGGCTTGTATAGTAAGAAGTTCGGCAATGCAGAGCTCGTGTAAAACTAGGGAAAATAATACTTTACAGAAATGTATCTAATCAATAATAACGTGCATTGAGCTGGTATTGACTTGGTACATGTTGTATCTCTTGTTTTCTCTCATCTTCCCAAATGCAACATCCACCCCTTCCTCGTTGTGGAGGAGTACAACACGTGACCATCCAAAATGATCAACAGAAGCTTGGGCCACTGCGGCTCCTTGAAACCCCCACGATTGTTTGCGATTGCTTTCATTCGAACCAACCACGTCCGTCAGACCCTGATACCATCACCATGAATGCTGCAGCTCAGGGTGACAAGGCCTCGGCCGAATCCAACTACCCCATCGCTATCGAACACTACACCCATGCCTTGAGCGAGCTACCCCGCGCTCCGGCATACTACATCTCACGATCGACTGCCTATTCGCGCCTCAAGCCCGCAAATGGCGGACCCAACTATCAGGCCGCACTCGAAGATGCCGAAATCGCGCTCCAGCTCGCCAAAGAGCGGGGAAACCGCGAGTTTATCCTCTCCGCTCAGATGCGCCGTGCCGTGTCGCTGTACCAGCTTGAGCGGTATGGAGACGCAGGATTTGTGTTTGAAATTATTGCTGATAAAACCAAGAGCGAGCAACCGCTAGCGAATAGATCCGAACAGGTGCAAGCTGCCATGGGAGGACCAGGATCTGCGTCGAAGGGCGCCAGAAACAACTACAGCGCCCAATTGCCGATTTGGACCGCCAAAATTCAACGGAAGCTAGCAGAGTTACCCAAGGACGACCCGAAGTGCACTGTATCTGTTACCGAGTTCCCGTCTTCCGTATACGTTCCGACTGGAGACGAGATGAAGGCTCAGTGGAAGGCCCTCAAGGCTGGCAACGTGGGAGTAGCCGGAGCCTCGCAGACTAAGACACAGCCGGCAGAGCCCCAGCAGCCATCCGCAGAAGAGTCTGGTTCAACTGCTCGACTTCCAGACTCGAGCTCCGCTGCAGCTGTTTCTGTTGCCCCGGAGAAGGTTCGCCATGAGTGGTACCAGTCACAGGACTCCGTGGTTGTGACTCTTTATGCCAAGGGGATCCCAAAGGACAGTGTCGCAGTCGACCTGAAAGAGGATTTGGTAAGCGATATTCTGTCTGGCCATGATTGGACTTTGGACTAATTCTAAAACAGATCTCGCTACAATTCCCCCTCCCATCTGGCTCTGAATACGACTTTACCCTCGACCCGCTCTATGCAGCTATCAATCCTGCCGAGTCCAAGGTCTCAGTTAAAGGCACCAAGATCGAACTCACTCTGCGAAAGCAGAAAGCCGGCCAAAAATGGGGTGCCCTCGAGGGCTCAGCCACCAACCCCGCCGAGATCACCGACCGTCCAGCGGCGCAAACCTCGCCGGCTCCCACGGGTCCTTCGTATCCTACCTCCTCACGCAGCGGCCCCAAGGATTGGGACAAAGTCGCGTCGTCACTTACTGCGAAACCAAAGGCTGATGGAAACGCAGACGTATCGGATGACGAAGGTGGTGATGCTGTGGACGGGTTCTTCAAGAAGCTGTATGCCGGCGCTGACCCAGAGACGCGCCGCGCTATGATTAAAAGCTACACCGAAAGCCAGGGAACATCGCTGAGCACGAACTGGTCTGAGGTCGCGAAGGGGAAGGTGGAAGCCCACCCTGAATGATTATCTACTTGCTATTTTCTGTCTTCTGCTCTAAGCCGCATGTAGCGAGGTGTTTCCTGGGTATTTTAGCTTAGTTCTCAATTTACCGTCTCTTCTCAAGTTGTTTATTAATACTGGTTCAGCAAGTAGTTCAATTTGTCGACAACCAAGGCTACCCCACTCTATAGACGAGACACCACAGTCGTCCCATCCCCATAAAGCGGAATAGCAGACCCAGCTCCATCCTGGCGGCGCATCGTAGCCATGACAGTCCCACCCACGACCTTCAAAGAAAACTTCGCCCCTTCTTCACTGGGCCAATTCATGAAAGATTCCCCGTCATAAACTTGCTCGAAGATCCTCGCCGGCTTGATCCTCTGCATAATCGGCGAAATACACTGTCCTTTATCGGCGTTTTCCTGCTCGTACACAGTCCACACATTCACCGGCTTGTTGCCGAAGAGCGATTTGTTCGCATTGTAGAGCGCACAGAGAGCTTCTGCCGCAGGGATCTCGCGAGCCCCGTCCGAGGAAGTGTTGGAGAGCAGAAAGCCTTCCTCGTTGACGATTGCCGTGACAGAGCAGGTGCCGAGTTTGTCGGCCTCGACCGCGTCGAAGTCGGCCCATCGGCCCATTTTGGTCGTATCGGCGTGCACTATTCTCCGATGTCTTATAGCGGAAGGCATGGTGGTTGGATATTTGGTAAAAGAGAAAGGAGTAGATAGATTGTCTTGGGTGATGAGGTAGGTGTTTGTGTTTGTGGATGGTATTTTGCTAATGCTTGTTTCGTATTTGGGTTGACTGGATTATTCTTTCCATGGTGCGATTTAGTCGGAGTATATATACACATTTATCACTGCCCTGAGAATCCCATCTGGAAAATTGGGCTGGAATCAAGGCTGCAAAGAACGAAACCCAACACAGCAGCAACCCGCCATATAATTGTTGGCTGGTAAGGTTCCACGGGCGTTATAGACCGGGGTATTGTGATAAGGGATCGCCGGCACTAAAACGAATGAAATTAGGTTCCAAGTCAGCTTAGGGCTGCAAGTAACTATCCAAAAGCAAAATGATAGGCTGTCGGCGCTTAGCGCTCTCGTGAAACTTATATTGGCGCCGGCCCCCTCAACCTCCCAACTTTCGCCGATCCCTGTCCTGCATGCCATAACTCTGCCCAAGTACGGTTGGATAGGCTTCTTAGTCTGTTTACATCGAGACACCTGCATCATTGACGAAGATGGTTGGTCCGGAGGTAAAGCCACGTCTCCGCCAGCCTGATTGAGCGAATAGATCCCCTCACTTGCAAAGTGATGCTACAGGCATGAATACGATATACAATTATTGGAAGTGTTCCAGGCCTCAGGTGCTGACATTCTACCCATGTATTCGGTAGTTCATGGCTGGAACGACCCATTCGCGGATCCGCGACCCCTGCTTCATAGCAAACATTTCCCCCGCCTAGTAAGCTGAACCTGTAAGCTAGGAATGACTGACCGCTAGTTTAGCTTTCATCATACGAGGCGCGAAGTCTGTCCAACGTACGTTGGCTCTGTTGGTTCGTGTTTGGTCGGCTCTTCCCGGCTCAGGCAATCATTGGAGGGCTGTATTATGGCTCATCGACGCCAATTTACGGACAGGACTTTGTTGGAAACGATGTATCGATTGCTTCTAGGATTTTCGGAACTTGTTGGCACTGCTAGGGTCCAGTTGCCATATATCCATGTCCAAGTGGTGGCGTATCCAACGCAGTCATGAGGGAGGCGATGTGACTTGGCTTGCAGCTCTTTCGAGCTATCTATTTTACATTTTTGAGATATGCTTCGTACTAATAAACATGCAATGATATCCAATCATATCAGAACCTCATTGTTGGTAGCCAGGTCACCAACGCAGGGAGGAATGTGTCACATCCGGGTACAAGAACCAACAAATTGAGCTTGTTTTCTGTTTGCTCCAAGTAATGATGGCTTATAGAATCAAAACAGTCTTGGGCAGAAAATATCCAACGAATATTCCCGCCGTTGGTGTGAAAGACAAGAATGGGATAGCGTGGGCGGTTATTTCTGAGAACGTGCATCCCCGTGTTTCCTTCTGATAATTGTTCTGATTATTCTTCCGAGTCAGTGATCAGTGGACATATGCTCATTTCCGGTGATTAACTCGTTGAGTTGCCAAGTTTGTGTGTTTCTATAGTTGTTCCTTATGTTGCCTTACTTCTTTCATGCCCTTGAGCTAGTATCGCTTTCAACTTGTTTTTTTTTTTCTGCTAAAAGTCGTAAAATGTATTTCGAACCTTTGTATATGTCCAATAAATCACATAAACTTTGAGTTTACTCTTCCTCTTCCTCGCCCTTGCTATCGCGGTATAGGAAAAATTGTATAAAGATCGCCATATCCAGCAGCAGCGTACCAGCGCTGCCAATCAGCCACGACAAGTTCACCAATACATACCGGCCATACAGCGCAGCCGCCTCGCCAGGACGACAATGCGCACGGTGGCTGTGATGGCCCAGGACCTCCTCAGTCGACCCACCATGGCAAACAGGCGAGTATGCCATAATAGAAAGCACATAAGTCAAGTTTCCAATGCAAGCAAAGAGGAAGAACAGCAGGGAAACACCATCCGTTGATTTGCGGCGGTAGTTCAAGAGAAGCTGGGGCAGACGTGATCCAAGGTACAAAGCTGCACAGAAATAGCCGAATACTTGACCCAGAACATCCATGGTGATAGGTTCCGGGTCTGGCGATGCTGGCTTTGCTGCCGGGCTGACGAACCAGCCCACCACGCCTGCAGCACAGACTAGAGCGACGGCCGTGAAGTTGAAAAGGATGGACTGGAGGACGGAGATGCGGCGACGACGAGCGAGTTGAGCACGGCGGCGCGCACAATCGGAAGTGGGTTCGAAGAAGGGCGTTGCGGGTGACAGATGGGTGGCATCCACCGAGGAGAAGATATCATGGAAAGAGTTTGTCGAGTGCCGTCGTCCGGCGGACGGCATTTGTGTATGGTCTTCGGGTTGCTGTCCCGCTACGTTTGTAGCCGGGTCCTGGATTTGGACATGGCCGTTGGGCTTTGGAATAAGGGATGATCTCTCTGTTGGCGCTGGTTCATGTTCGGCACTATTCCGCTCCTCGTCGGAAGTACCGTTGGCTGCAAAAAGGTCCGGTGTGGCGGATGGAGATAGCTCCTCCTTGAGGTTGAATCCCCGGTAATAGAAGCACTGTCCCAGCAGAACAATATCTGCTAAAGTGTAGTATACTGCAAGGATGATCATGGTAGGAAGCACGCCTTGTAGGACGGCACCAAGGATGTTGAACACATCGCCAGCCAACCAGATGATGAGGAAGATGAGAGAGAGGCCATCTGCAGAGCCACGTCGGAAGTTCTCGATGATTTGAGGGGAGAAGACGACAACCCAACAGGCAATAGAGATTGATCTAAATGAGTTAGTATTGGACTAAGAAACAAAACATACAGATATCGCCAGTCTTAGTAAATATAGATCCAACGTCGCACATGTATTAAATGAACATGACATCTAACGAAAAACACCAAAGAAGGAAAAAAGAGCAGACTTACCCACAGATGCCGCTAAGGGCCTCGATGTTCAAATTAGCCGCCTGCGAGGGAAACATGATGCAGGTGAACCGTGCGATTCAGAGTCAAGTGATTCTGAATGGTTTGGGAGGCGAAACAAGGTAAAAAGTAGAATTCCCAGTATAAATGAATATATTCTCTGGAAGATCCGACTCTGTCCAAGTCGAAAATAGGGCAATTGGAGGTGCGCGAAGAGAATTGGAGAAATTCACAGACGGAGCCATGGATGACGTCTGGTCACGTGCATGGGAGTATACAAATTAGGGCAGGGCATTTCTTCTTGTTTCCTTCATTTATTTCATTTCCAGCAGTTTATGAAGATACGGGTTAGATAAGGTGATATTCCCTTCACCATGGACTACCAATTCAGAGCTATTGACACAATCCTTACTGTGGTCACATGATCTGCGTCGTTAATAGTTGCCACATTGGCGCCCTTGAGCATCCGTACCGCTACTATAGCAAACCATGACACTATTGTCCTTTCATAAGCAGCTCTAACTTGTCCTGGGCATCACAGAAAATATTTATAGCCTTCGTCTCTGTCAGCAAAGCTCGAAATTGATCAATGTATCCATCCTTACCTCGGTCAGCTTAATCTGACTAGCACCACCCAGGTCGCGGGCAAATCTGATCTGGTAGTTTCCAGGATCGCTGATGAGAGAGTACTCCTGCGCCGGGATTGGAAGTGTCGGCTCAATATCAAGTAGCGACTTGACATCTCCTACATAAGGCTGAGTCAACTGTGTCAACAGACCTGGCGAGATAGTGAGGTGATCCACCCCAGCGAGGCAGAAGATCTCCTCGACGGAAGTCAAGCTAGCAGGGAGAACTTTGGTGGGCGAATTGATGGACTTATAGTATTTCTGAATGGCTGCGCAAAGCGGGAGCAATTTCGCATTGTCCACAAATCTGAAATGAGAGTGTTAGGTAGGATATCGGAGAAGAGTTTGGTACTTACCCTGCTTGTACATGCACCCTCAGTTCGTTCACATAAGGTGCGATATAAGTACAGCCGACCTCAGCTGCGAGCACAGCTTGAGCCATGCTGAACAAAGTGGTTGCTAAAGTATGCACACCGGCTGCTTCAAGAGTGTGGCAGGCCATCATTCCTTCCCACGTACTAGGAATCTTGATAGAGATGCGACTGACGTCGAAGCCGGGCTGGACATAATGGAACAACTGCAAAATTCCTATAAATGATCTGATCAACATCGGCTCAATTGAGCAAAATCAATGACAATGAGAAAAGTTAAACATACGGAATGCATTGGCCGCAATCTTCTCCGATGAGTATGAGTAGTAAGGATTAACCTGGACATGAACACGTCCACGAATATGTTTTGCCATTCCAACGGCCAATCTAACAGTCTATTAATCGATATTAGTCGACTTCTTTAAGCCCATCAATGCTACAATCGAAGCATGACTTACCGCAATCTCGACAGCCAATTCTTCGACCGTGGTTGACGAGTAGTTCGGATGCAGTTTCTTCGCATCTGCCTGTGCCGCCGCAATGACTTCAGCCCGTGCTGGCTTAGAAAGCTCGCCAAGTGCAATAGCCTGAGCGGTTAGTTGTAACCTGGTTATGTAGTATCTTCGACCTGCTTACTTGGTTGGAAGTACAGTCCTCGAATGGACCCAGGGTTTTGGCGACTTAAAAATAGTCAATTATCTGAAAAAGATCATATAATAATCTCTACGATGTGGACTCACCTTCGTCGTCTAGCGTATCACAGTCGATCTGCGTGCGCGAACGCATATAGTCGAGACCTGTCTGTACTGCCATATTCAATGTAGGTAGACTAGTAACGAGACAAGTAGTCGAGTAAAGAAAGGGTGTCTGATGGAGAGAAAGGAAAAACAAAGCGAGGAAATGGTCATCCCACTTACCCCAACCCTATAGTGCATTTAATGGGGGGTTTTCCGGGGAAACTCCGCAGGTGGCACGGATTTGTCGGCCCGAGTGACTTGACACTGCATCGAGCACTGCATGTCTATTGTAGTGCATGGGTAATGTGCTAGGAAGTATGACAGTATGAGAGCTGGGTTAAGTTCAGTGCAAGTTTATATGTCATAACAATTAGTATAACTATAACAAATCGAGGGATGAATGATGCTTAAAGTATCCCAATCAGACAATATTCGCATTGTATAAGATAAGAAGGATATATGCCGAGAGAAACGCCTCGCGATGCAAAGTGGAAACCCACCCCGTATAACTATCAAACTAGATATCAAAAATCAAAATACTCTCTTTTGTTTGGCTTCTATTTGGCCTGGTTAGCCAACCACGCCTCATGTGCCTTCTTCTGGCGTTCCCAGTCTTTGCGGAGCTTCTTCGCCCGGCTCTTAGTGATCTCCTCGCCGGTACTATCGCGGGTAGGCATGCCTTCATCGTCCCAGGCGCTGTACTCGTTGGTACGGAACATCTCCAGGTGGCTCAGTTTGCCCTTCTCCGCCTTCTTGAGAGCCTCCTGCTCCTTCTTCAGCTTTTCAGCCTGCTTTTGGAGAGCCCGAGTTTCCTTCTCTGCCCGCACCTTAATCATCTCTTGGGTGACTGGCCGGACTAGGGCAGGTTGGTTCTCCCGATCTTCGAGGGCGATACCAACATCGAAGAGGTCGATGTCTCGCACACGGTCGCACAGGGACAGAATATCCTTGCCAATAGAATCAGATGACTCCAAAGACACCACCTTGTCACGGAAGTTGGAGAAAAGCTCAGCGTATGGCTTGGCAGATTCAGAGGCCTCTTGGGGTGCCGATGCTTGGGCAACTGCCGCCTGGATATCCTTGGCGGATATTCCAGCCTTGGACCGTGCGGCTTCACGGAGCGTGTCACGCATAGCCGACAGAGGGTACAGGTAGGGTTTGGCCTCCTCGGGAATCTCAATACCAGACCAGCCGATTTCAGTGCTGTCAGCAGAGGCGGTGCCGTTAAGACCGAAGATGTTCACCATGGAGGTAACCCATTGGGCTGCAGCTTGGACATCCTTGGAGGGCACGGTAGCCTTGTCGGCAATATTGAACTTAGAGATAAGTTCCGAAATCGACGCCATGGCAGCGGGAGTGTTGAATGAATCACAGAGCTGATCGTAGACCGCCTTCTTGGCAGCTTCCAGATCAGCAGCAAAGGTGGTGTCGGTGCCGGACGACTGGAGAGCTGCAGGGTCGTTCACCTTGAGGAAAAAGTTGTTCACCTTCTCCTCCCATGAGCTGCCTGTGTTTATCAAATCCTCTGTGATCTCAACGCCATCCTTCCAGCCACCCAGGAGGAAAACAATGCGCAGACTTCTCGGCGACCAGTCTTTGCGATCAAGCGCTTCTCGGATGGTAGTGAAGTTCTTCAACGACTTGGACATCTTGGATCCTTGGATGGACAGATGGCCCATGTGAAGGAAGTAGTTAACCCATTGGTCATTCTTGTGGTCACCGTGCCAGTATGCCTCACTCTGGGCTAGCTCATTGTCGTGGTGCGGGAAGGCAAGATCAATGCCACCTGAGTGAATATCCATATGTTTGCCTAGCCTGGCTGATGCCATAGCTGAGCATTCGATGTGCCAACCAGGGCGACCCTTGCCCCAGGTACTTGACCAGCTTGGCTCACCTGGCTTCGACGACTTCCAGAGAGCGAAATCGGAAGCACCACGCTTCTCTGTCGTTTTGCTGGCCAAAGATCCTTCGCCCTCTGCAGCCAACTTGTTGTCCGACCGGCTCCATGGCTCAAGCCGTGCGTACGGATGACCCGCAGCTTCGAAGGCATTGATATCAAAGTATACCGATCCATCCTTTGTAGCATATCCGAAGTTATTCTTAACAATGCGATCCACGAAGGCCGCAATCTCATCACCGTATTCTGTCACGCGAGTCAACTCGGTAGGATCAAGAACGTTCAGGTCCCGCATATCCTTAGTGAACCGGTCCTCATATCTCTTAGTCAACTTGGTGAAGATGCTGTGATCGTCCGCATCAACCAATGCGCCCTTCAGGGCATCGAGGTAAGGCAAAATAAGATCTTGCGCGTTCGAATAGAACGACTCAGCAAAGAGAGCAGGGTCTGCACTCGAGCTATCACGGGCTTCCGCCTGCACGATTACTTTTGCGGCAGAAGAAGCCGTCTTGATGTGCATCTTAACCTTGGCCTCGGCATCACCTGCCTTGTCGTTTCCTGGCAAAGTTCCACCGTTCAAAATAGTCGCATAGGTTTTCTCAACCTCATTCTGGTACTGCGACGGAGGGAGTTCGGAGTCGAGCAAGGGAAGGTTCTTCTTTAAGTAGGCGACGAAAGCGCTTTTGACGGTATCTAGGACCTCCGAGGTAATCGTAGGGTTGGCGGCGACAAATTCATTAAACAGGTGTTGTTGTCTGGCGCGGAGGATGATCTATAAGATTGGTGAGTCACCGTGCTTGAGGCTGTATACACAGCTCCGAGCCATACCTTATCGTCCACGTCTGTAATGTTCATAACAAATTTGACGTCAAACTTGAAGTAGTCGCGCATAATTCGCCGGATAATATCGGTGCTAACATAGTTTCGGGCATGTCCAAGATGCGCGTCGTCGTAAACAGTCGGTCCGCACGCGTACCATACAACCTTCTTGCCCGCAGGGTCGATCGGGATGAAGGGGGTCTTGGACTTGGTCAACGAGTTCCATACCTTCAATGGAGGCAGTTGCGCGTCCGGGCTAGCGACCGGTTGCCGCCATGGCGGCTGCTGGCGAGAAGACATAGAACTGAAAGAAGTGCCTGACAATAAGAACCGCTGTTTGAACGGTGGAAAGAAACGAAAGGAAAGAAGGGCGGGTCGGGGGAAGAGCATAAAGAGGGAAACAAAGGCAATGGAGGGGGAGGGGCTCTTGTCAGGACCAGATCGAGTCATCCATCAACTGCGGACTGGCTGTGATTGGCGGCAACGGGGGATGGGAGGACCAAGCCCTGAGCCCTAATTCGTGGCCCAATCAGGCAATAGGCATGACAGCCTTTTTTTCTTGGAGAGACAGCGAGTTCCAACCGCAAGTTAGGGATTGTCCGTACCAATTATCCGCGCTGATATCGCCCGCCATGACTTCCCCATTCCTTACCCGGAACGCCGTAGCGGATGCAGATAGTCTTGCCCTCTTGCAACTCCGTCGCGACCAGATCATTCCGACGATCCTCCGCGACCATGACGATGAGAACCAAGGCTATTGGGAAGGCAAGGTCACCAACACCCGCTTCGGCTCATTCCCACACAGCACTCTGATCGGGCAACCGTGGGGCGCGCAGATTGTCGCGTCAAAAGTTGATACAGGCTCGCGCGGTCGCCCATCCACCAAGCGCAAGGCCGAAGAGCTCGATGCTGAGACAACAACTGGCGCAGAGGAGGACAAGAAGCGACCATCATTAAGAGCCCCCGTGTCTGCGGATAGTGGGTTCCTACACATCCTCGCCCCGACTCCCGAAGCGTGGACCCTGTCTCTTCCACACCGCACGCAGGTCGTCTACACCCCAGACTACAGCTACATCCTCCACCGACTCCGCGTACGACCGGGGTGTACAGTCATCGAAGCCGGAGCCGGCAGCGGCTCGTTCACGCACGCCTCTGCACGCGCCGTTTTCAACGGGTATCCCGGGACAGAAGAAGCAACCAAACGGCGACGACTGGGGAAGGTATGCAGTTTCGAATTCCACGAAGGGCGCGCGGCCAAAGTGCAGCAAGAACTTAAAGACCACGGTCTCGACGGGATTGTGGAGGCTACACATCGCGACGTTTACGAGGACGGATTCCTGCTGGGCGATCCCAAAACCGGCAAATCGCCCAAGGCTAACGCCATCTTCCTGGATCTCCCTGCTCCCTGGCTCGCACTGAAACATCTCGTGCGAAATCCGCCCCCGGGGCAGGAATCAGCTCTCGACCCTGAGTCACCCGCTTATATTTGCACATTCTCGCCCTGTCTCGAGCAGGCAGAGCGTACAATCCGCACTATGCGCAAGCTATCATGGCTCAATATTTCAATGGTAGAAGTCGCTCAGCGTCGGCTTGATGTCAAGCGGGATCGTGTCGGGCTAGATACCGAGGGCGTTCGCGGAGCTACAATGTTTCCTAAGACGGTCGAGGAGGCAGTTGCAAAGCTCCGTAGTGATGAACAACGTGCCAAGCTCATCCGGGAGAATCGGATGACCAAAGGCCAGCCAGATTACCAGCCAATTGCGAAGGAGACGCCGTTCTATAAAGAGAAGACCGATGTCCCCGTTTATGCTCAGGGTCGTTTGACTCATCGATCGGAGCCGGACCTCAGAACTCACACCTCATACCTGGTCTTTGCGATCCTGCCTCGGGCTTGGTCTGAAGAGGAGGAGCAAAAGTGCCGGGATCAATGGCCATCCGCCAAGGTCGCGAAGCCCGATAATGAGCCGAAGACAAGCAAGAAGCAAATGAAGAGAGATGCGGCAGTGGAACGGGCAAGGCTTCGCGACGAACAAAAGCAATTGGAAGAAAAGTCACAGCTAGAATCGGGAGATAAGATCGAGGAAGAAAAGTTGGAAAAGGAGAGCACCGAGGCATGAGGATGAAGATACCAGTTGATTTGATTTGTTAGCATAAGATTCATAGCCGGATTGTGGTATTGTTGTCTTTGAAGACATTCTACTTCACACATATCATTTACTCAAAGGCTCTTTCATCATTGAATTGTACGCAATCCTGGAGCTAGGTTGGTCGTCAACTCCTCCGACCTCAAACCAGCATTTGCAAATCCTTACAGAGGCATACTTTAGCGGCAAGTATGAATTCATGGGCGCATCTTGACTGAAGCAGCTGGTATGAGAAGTTTTGCCCGAGAAGCAGCCGTCTTGCAGGCCACCTGGAGACGAACATAGATCACGATGATAAACAAGCAGCGAGAATGAGTACTACAAGGGATCAGAAACACAAAGAAGGCAACGCTCATATGTAATTCTCTATGGGACAAAAATGCTATCAAGGCCCCTTCTAGGTAATGGAATCGTGAAATGCAACAAGCGAAATGACCATGAGTAGATGGTATGAACAGGAATATAGGAGCTCTCAGAGGTTATTTTCAGCTCTGAACTTGTCCCAGGCTTCATTTAGGGTTCCAAACACAGATCCAGCAATCATACGCTGCTCAGTGGTGGCACTGGTAGAGATCTAATATGGAACGTTAGTATATAATCTGCCAATACCACCTAAGAAGGAGTAAACATACCTTATCAGGGTGCACCTTGGAAATCCCCTTCATGTACTGAATCTTAACCTTATTCGGCAGCACCAGCTCCGACAAGCCAATCTTCTTCCACCCAGCCTCGGGCCATAGCACAGAGTCTAAGCTACCCAGCAGCGCACGCAAATTGTCTTGCTTGCCACTTTTCCAGGTAGAGATTTTCGCGTCGACGCTCTCGGCAAGAGCAAACTTCTCTTCGTCGGCACGCTCAGCCGCCTGGTTGGCTTGTCGCAGACGGCTGACTGCTTCAAAGTCCGTCCCGGATGCCGACGTGGCCGTGAGACCGGACATAACCGAGGCCTTCTTAGGCGGAGGTGAAGGCCGATTTCTAGCAGGGGCTGTGGGTTTAGATTGGGGCTTGTTGATACCAGCCGCTTTCTCGCAACGGTTTCGGCCTTGGATGCTCGTGCTGCCACCGTGACCAGACTCTACAGCCAGCTTCCACGCCTGCGCTGCATCGTTCCAGTGCTCTAGTTGCTCAAGGGCTTCGGCTTTACGCATCAAAGCCTTGCCGAAGAAGTCTTTCATAGGCTTAGGTGGTTCCCCGGTGCAAAGATCGATTACTTCCGATTCGCCCTTAGATGGGCCAATAAATGTTAAAATGATGTCGGCGTCATCAATGGCGGACTTGGGTTCACCGATCTTCAGGGCCGTCATTGCACGATTGCTGCGGATGATAATAGTGATAGGATGTTTGTCAGGCAGCATTCCAAGAGCAGTGGAAAAGCTCTGATGGGCTTCCGCGTAGTCGCCTCTTTTGTATGAGTCTGCGGCCTTTCCGCGGTGCCGGTGTGTCGATTGAAGCGCCTCTTGGGATACAGGTGGAATAGACCGTGTTGGGGCTTTGGGGCGTACAGGAATGGAAGCTGAGCGTGTCGTAGGCATGGCAGAGGGAGGAGGCTTTGAACGACTAGCTGAAGGAGCGGGGGAATCAAAGAGATCGACAGTCGGCTCAGAAGGCGGCGGTGGCGCCTGGGGTCGCTTGCGTCTCGCAGGACTAACATATGCTTGAGCCGTCTGCTCTTCATCCTTAAACCGTGAAACTCGAGATTTAGGATCCTGAGAGCTTGGTCGGGATGGACGTTGGAGGAAGTTGGGTTGTTGCCTTGGCTGGACAGCACCAGGGGACTGTTGAGTACGAGGAGGCTGGCTTCTCGGCTCGGGGTGGTGGGTTTCACGGTGACGAGGTTTCTGAGGCCGACCATCACCAGACTCAAGAAGAAGCGCTTCATTGGTGAAATCCTGCTGCTCTCGTTGTGATTGAGCCGGCTGATCACGACGATCTGGACGCTGCGGCTGCAGAGGAGGTTCATCTTGTGGCGAGGATCCATCTCTCATCCAACGCGGTTGGCTGGGGTCATGCTCGGCGTTAAATTCGTTTACCGCTTGTTGGAATTTCTTGCTGCCAGTCTTCCAAAGCGAGCCGGCTGATTTCAACAGGGTATTACCAAATTGGGAGGCTAACTGCGCAGGATCTTTGTCCGCTGATGCCGGACTCCGTCTGTCCTGACGTGATCGAGATTCTGACATTTCTTCTCTCATCCACGAAGGCCTGTCGCGGTTGCGACTATCGCTCCTTGCAGCGCGATCAGTAGAATGAGTTGTACTGGGATGCCCTTCAGTCTTCTGCCGAGACTCGGCATGGGCCTGGGTGAGAAGCCAACCAACAGCAGCCTGCACGTCGGTCCCGGACTCGGTGGTATTCAAAGCCCGGCGAGCTTTATCCGCGGGGAATCCCATATCCACCAACTCCGCAATAGCCCGGTCGACCTCGTTGGAAGGCATAGGAGATGCATCTTGGTCTCGTCCTTGAGTTGAGGGTGTGGCAGATTTAGGAGGCGGTTCGGGGTGAGGGATATCTGATATCGGCTTCCCAAGCAAACCAAGGAAATCATCATCGTCGCCTTGTTGAGGCTGAGGAGCGGGAGCGGATTTCGGCTTCAATTGATTGAGACCGAATGGATCATCGTCATCAAAGGCGTCCATCCCCCCCGTGTTGTCCTGCATGGAAATCCCCCCATTGGAAGGTTCTGAGCGACTGTTCAAGTCGATTCGAGGCGACGATCTCGAGGAGGTGGGGATTGGGAAATGCGTCGATGCGTCCACCGGTGCGGCAGAATTGAAGGCAGCCAGGAGATCCTCATCGTCCGCGGGCGGAGGTGCAGATCGAGGAGCAGGTATAGATGCGGGGCTCCGCGTGCGTCCTTCGAAATTGTCCCAGAATTGATTGTTCTGGCCTCCGTATTGCGATTCGAATCGACTGCGATTTTCGGCTTCCTTCTTAGCCTTTTCCTCCTGCAAGCGCTTCTGCTGTTCTATAAGAGATAGGTTCTTGTTCCCGGCGGAAGAATTGAATGAAACCAGGTTCGCGAAGCTATCTCCGGCGGGAGTAGCGGGCTTTGGTGAGCTTGAGCGGTTCGAGGTCGCAGATAACGGTGTGGACCTGCCGGAGCCACCATTTGATGGTATACTTGGGTACAAATACCCAGAGCTCATTGGCGGTGGTTTGCTTGTGTTTGAGTCGGAGGACCAACTCAAGCCATTTAGATCCTCCATGGTGAGTGAGCGTCGCAAAGAATGAAGGTGACGTCTGGTGGGTTCGAATGAGGATTAGGTCCCAGAAGCGGGATGAAGGTTTTCCATAATCTCACCAGCTCACAATATATAAAAGAAGCCCAACGCGGTTTCAATGATCGTTTGCTGCTATCAAGCAGATGCGGAACAGTTGCCCCCTGCATGTGGGGGATCCGGACCGCATTGAGGCCAGCACGTGATTATACATTTCCTTGTCTGAGGAAATAGTTATCAGTTCACTCGTCTGGCTATTCAATGTCTTGAGAGTGAGGTTAAACATCTCAGTAATCAATTGCCTCTAACATGAACTAACCTAGTCCAAGGTGTATGTGATGACGTCGATGTGAGAGATATCCAGTCCACAGACCTTCAACTGAGCATCTTCTTGGTACTACGTTTTGATTTCTCAACAACTCAGTGATCACTCAAATCGCCCTCAGTCCCTAAAACAACCTGAGGACTATTAACGGATATTGCCATGGCCGCTTCAGCCAACTGAAGTAAACGAACCCGGTGAAACCGATGGTTAAATGGAAAAGAAACAACCTCACGATACACATACAACGGATGAGGAATATATATGTCTCTATGCATAAATGTCACCACTGACTCAAAACACCCCTTATTAATGGAACCTGTGGCTTCATTGGCCTCGTTCTGATTTGTTGGTTTTCGTTTGAGTGGTCTAATACGTAATGTCTGCTTCGTTCTATCTTGCTATGTATGTCGTGCTGATGGATATATTTGCAGGTTTGATCCCCGGCAGGCGCCCTTGAATCACCCTCAGAGGTAATGGCAAAGAGAACAAGGAGGAGGACCAGGAGAGGAGGTGCCAGAGTCGTTGATTGCACCTGTGGGCTAATGAGCACGATTAACTCGAGAAGCACTTGTGGAAAGTGTAGGTCTTGGAGGAAATACGTATACATACTAATCAAGGGTGTCTACCTCTACGGGGTATCCCACAAGGCCCAGTCATGAAATAGTCCAGACCATTCTAGAGGGACTGAAAAAGAATCCAAAAGCTTACACTGTGGAGACCATCAATATTGATTGGTAAGGCTATCCCTGTAAAATGCAGTAAAAGGTTCACAAAAGCAGGCGTGCTTCGTCCTGAAACCAGTGCTTAGGGTTTCCACAATGCAACCTTTTAGGTCTTTTCTCGGTGCTTACTTGCAGGCTGCAAGTCCACTAGAGTTCGAAAATATGCCAATGACCACTCAATCAACTACTCCGTATATCCTACGAAATACCTGCTGACAGTCTCCAAATCGGCAAAAAGACGAATCAATAGTCGAGAAAATCATCGAGGCCCGAATCTAAAAACGCTCGACCTATAGGATCTAGGCATATTTGTAGGGCCGAAGCCTAGCTAAACTATCACTCAATCATTGAACCAAGAATCAGGGGATCACCCGGTATCCAAGACTATTAGCTGTAGACGGGGCATGTGGTATCCATTTCTTCTACTTTTGGGCCAACGCACATCCTATCCCAATGTGGGATGCGCAATACTTCAGCCTAGAACTATTTTGTCTTTTCTGGAAACTTCAATCAGGGGTAGTTGGAGACGGAAAGACCCAAATAACTATTCCGTAAATGGTAGCAGACATCTACTCATGTTCTTTCTTGGTCGTATAGATCTACTATTGGGTGGCATTTCTACCTGCCAAACTCCGTTAGCTTGCGCGCTAATGCATGAAGCTTTGCTCAATTGGTGATTTTCGCTAAACTCTAAACGATTTAACGTCATGGTTTAGCGGATGATGGAGCCCCTTTTTGACGCTTTCATGGAAGACATTAGTCCGTTCGGTGCTTGATTGTGTCAGTGGCGCAATTACAGCGGCAATTCAGCCTCCATGTCAGCTCTTGGTAGAACCATACAGAGTACTCCTTGGGAAATTTTATAGGTGCGAATCAAAAAGTAGCAATAAGCAGTGGCTGACTAAGATCAAGTGAGGTTATGTCCACTCGACGAAGATCATCATCTCAAGCGAATCAGACAAAGCACTGTATGCTTTGTGGCTGCAGGCAACCAACTTGGTATGTGATATGATAGCGACCTCACGGCCCCTTCCTGAAGTCTGCGGTGTCATACTCCACTAGAATTGGCTGCTGCACAATATCCTGTGGGAGATTCCACCTGCCTACCCCGGCATCCCAAGCTTCTGTCTCCCCTTTCTGGTGCCCAGTGACAAAAGTGCAATATAGATCTGGGTCTCCAAAGACCATGATTCCGCCTCCAATTCGGACATCATCGAGTGCGTAATTCAGGGAATCCGAATCAAATATAGATTGCGTCAATTCTGCGCTTGCAATTGGTCTGAAATTCTACAAATGTTTTCATTAGCAAAGGCGGTTCAAGCATATTCTTTGCCCTGAAACAGTATCCCAGGGGTATGAGGAGAATGGGCAATCTATACCTGTTCGGCACCCCCGCCTGGGGCGAAAAACCTCCTAACAGTAATGTACCAACGCTCTTCTGGTATTTTTACGTCGTATCCCGTGAATCTGATATGTGCTGGTAATCTCATTTTCTTGGCATGAATAACGAGAGTCTAGTCGGCTTCCATCGTAGGAAGGTCTGTAGGTATAGGTAATATCCCAGGTTGACTCGTGTCATCGACGTTCTTCAAGAACTAGCCTCGCTGGCTAAGGGAAAGCTGCTTCAGTTTATCACTGTCCTAGCTGGAGATAGAACAGAATGAATGATATCGTATCATCCTGGAACAACACGAAACTTGTAGAGTAGGATCCAGAAACAAAATTTCTTGTCAGAATCGTGACTACTCCGTTGGGGATGAAGAAGGTCAGAAGGGAATGACTTCTAGATCATTCTGAATCACGTATGCAGGGTGATCGATAGTCTTGACAAGTTCATCGAGTCCTGCTAGCCAATAGATACTAGCGTGGTTGAGATTAGCTGCTAAGCTCCCATACAAGAAAAGAAGAAAACTTACTAAGCTGGCCATTTTTGTCAAGATGTTCTTGAGTATTCACCGGGATCATAATCCCAGGGTATCCTTCATCGAGAGTCCATACAGGGCGGAACCCGTGCTTCGCAAGGTTGCGATGGTTGCATACTCCCGAGCTAGAACGGCATCACCTTTGTCGTAATCAGAATCTGAAGTATCCAACTCTTGGTCGGGGTCTTCGTACCTTGTATGCTTGATGGAAGGTGGATTAAGTCTGTATATATGTGTCTGGAGGAGATGAAGAAGGCGAGAGTGAGAAGTTAGAGTGTGAGAAGTAAGAGTACAAGATAAGGGAAGTAGCAAACACCATCCGATCATGGCACCTTGAAAGGAAGTGATGTTTGACCATGGTAGCTACTCAGTGAATCCATCAGTAATCTCACGTTTGCTAATAAATGTACTATCTAGGTATGGTTGCCAAAGCTAAGCTTGAGTGGATGAGTGGATTTCGGGAATTCCGACTCTTCCGCCAGTCGGGAAATTACGAAGTCCTCTCTTTAGCGAAATTTGTTTTATAATTTCAGCTCTCACTTTAGTTTTGTTTTTTCTCGCTTGCTACAGGACCGAAAATGACAGCAAAAAGACAGTAAAAAAGATGCATGAAGAATACACCTACGTTGTAGAAAGAATATTAAAGATGCCGATGACAAGGCCAATCAGGTCACACCTTATTAGACTTAATTCCATCTGCCGTACATACGGAGTACTCCGTACTATTGCCAAAGACTAGGCCCACACAGGGATCTTCATTGGCTTGAGGATATACTCAACGGAAGAATATTTAGTAGGTGGGTATACCGTCTTTGCGGGACCGCGTTCCGAATCCGGTACGATGTATCCAATCGATATGTAATCTAGACCAGAGGTCACGAGGTCACATTGTCCAACCTCGGGAAGGAATGTGATCGTGTATTATGTAATCTGGTTTTTTGGAATGGCAGAATCGCGGCTGAAAAGGCGGAATAAAGGATTGAGCCAATAGAAGTATAACAATCACGTGGGCGGTAGGCTTAAAAATACGTCCGAGAGTAAAGTTTCTAAAACCGAGGGGGCTAAGCCTAATTCAGAAGCCTTGGTACTCTTTATGGTCAAAAGTCCAGGAGCACGAATAATCCTTCGAAAGTGATCGTTAGAAAAAGTGGGGTGATTTTAACGGGGTTTGGCTTGATTATTATATTCATCTCCTGGGCGAAACCTGCATCATCGTGGAACCAAATGGACATTGAGATACTGTTACTCCGTAGAGTAAGGTAAGAGTGTTGGAATGGTACTCGTATATGCTTGTATTGAGACTATACATAGTATTCAAGTAGAGGATGTTTGCGGTAAAAAGGAAAGTCGGAACTCCGCTTTTTCACAGCAGCGGAACCACTCGGGAGGCCGAGCCGCGCGGTAGCGAATGGAAATCCAATCGGTGGATCGCAGTGTCTTGCCCCTGACTTTCAGGGCTTGGACAGGTATGGCTTAGTCAGTGCGCACAATGCTCGGACCTGTCTTAATATTGATGTAGGTAGGATATCCTTCATACTGATGATACTCTGCCAGCCCTCATTCTTAAGAAAAAGAAGAATGAAACCAAAATAATCCAGATTTAAGAAGATCCCAAACGAAAAACAGAGTTAAGCTGAAACGACCCAACAGAGTGGCCAGGCCCGTGCTTCCCGTTAGCTGGGTCCTTGGGTGCATTGCGGTATAAATGGGGGGTAAGGGGGGCTTGATGGTCCGGAGATGAGGCCCCTAATAAGTAAATAAGAGTCAAGACAATCAGACTGATCAAGGATTCCAACATCAAAGTTAATGATCCTTCGCATAGCCTGCACGGTCCACTGTTCTACAAGTACGGAGTACAACATAGTACCATGCAGAAAGAACCTGGGCCTGGAATACTTTACACAGACGTCCAGATATTATGTCAAGGAGGGGCAGATTAGGGCAGATTACCAGGTTTCACCTGGTAATCTAGGCTTGAGAGACGTTGTCTATGGAGTAGGTTCATACTATATATTAGGAAGCGACACCTTCCTCTTCTAGCTGATAGGCGTAGTGTGCTGACCAGGAGGCAACATCGAACCGAATCAATTCTCCGGTTTTCGGTGTGCGTTGTACTCCCCAGCACTTTTTTGGGAACCCCCCTAACTCAACCACCGTCTATTATTAACACTCTTAATTGCCAAACCCATAAAATCTCCGAACATGCGCTCGTTTAGATATATACCAAGTGGGTTTGCCCTGCCGCATCGGGTAAGCCGTGTCTTTTTCTTCTCGTTTCTTTTTTTCTTCTTTTTTTCTCTCGAACGGTACGCTAGTCCGTGCATTTCCGCGTGCGTTCCACGGATTCGCCCTAAACGTACGTTGTATTTGGTCGTTCCCCTAATAGGGCATGGTCTGATCGATGCATGTGAGCTAGCGATCTATACACGTACCACCCAGTGGCGCCTCGGAACCGGAAGTGATTTGATATTGGCATTCCTCTTTATCCATTCGCCTCGGCCCTGATTCGCTGCCCCCTTGCACAAGTCAAATGATAGTCCGTTCTCTTGCTTTCCGACTGGTCCCCTCCTCCTGATTCCCCATACATACGGCAATCGATCCTAATCTGCCCTCGGGAAATATGTACGCATTCCGTACTCTACACAAGGGCTTTGTGTGCTACTGATTATGCTGTTGTTAATATGTTGTATATGGGTTGTACGGAAGGAAATGTTCGGTACTCCATAGTTACCCCCGTAGTTCTAAAAGCAAATCAGCTACTCCGTAGTCTGGGCGTATCCGGTACCGCCCTTCACATACTAAAGTACCAGTTGTGGATTGTATCTGGTACCTTCCCAAGCTTCCGCTCTCGTTCTCTTACTCGATTCAGACGGCGCCGGACTTTGGACTTTGCCAGACTCGCCCCTAAATCGACTCCATAAATATTCGAATTCGAATATTCAAATTATTAATGCCCGGACGTCTAGCCCGTGCTAAGATGACCCTTCGCGAGAGCTGTCCACGCCCCATAAAAAAAAACAATAAGTATTTTACCTCTTTGGCCTGCTTTGGCCTGCTTTGCCTATTTTTACTTAGTCTACCCTAGAGCCTTTATTATGCGATGTTAAAAAAAATAAAAATAAGAAAAACATCACATTCAGATGTCACTTCCCCCTCTTTGTAAACTCCTTATCCGAACTACATTCTCTTCTCCCTGCAATCCCTCCCCGTTGCCCCCTTTCAACCCTCGACAAGCCTGGGGTGAACCTCCCAACTCGATACCATGGGGTTATTCAAGCGCAAAGATTCCAAGAACTCCATTCAAAGCGATACCGAGAATGATCCCATATCAATCAACAGCGCTCGTACATCACATACATCCCTGAGATCGCCAAGGTACAAGGGAACTGGCCCGCCATCCTCGATCCCGGAACTCCCTATCGCCAGACCCCCAGATCCAGCATTGGACCCGGCCGCATATCTACGGAGCATCCATGCCGTGCGCGAACGCTCCAACATCATTCTGAAAAAGGCCAAAAAGAACCAACTGCACCATTTCGACGTCGACATGAGCAAATTCGAAGCTACCGCCTCTTACGTCGTCTCCATCATCAAGGTAGAGAACCAAACGACTCGATCCTGTGAGTTTTGCGCTAACGTGTATTCCCAACCAGCGAGATTATGCGCCAGATTATGAGAACATTCCCCCGCATGGTCGCTGGCAGCACTTCGATGTCGGCGGCAGACCGCGTATCAACCAGCTTCTCCAGTCCTGGCCCAGTCGCATTGATGCGCAGGAGCGCACCCGCCGTTTGATTGATCTGTTTGTCGTGTCCGTGCTGCTCGACGCTGGCGCCGGGAACGAGTGGTCGTACCGGTCCAAGGAGTCTGGTAAAGTCTTCTCGCGCAGTGAGGGCTTGGCCGTGGCCAGTTTGGAGATGTTCAAGTCGGGGCTTTTCAGTAGCGATCCGACGGAGCCATGTCAGGTGGATGGCGCAGGATTAAAAAAAATTACGGTCGAGGTGCTTGCCAAGGCGATGCAGCATTCTGATGAGAATCCGTTGGCCGGTATTGAAGGCCGCACGGGCTTGTTGGTACGGCTCTCCGAGGCACTTAACAATCAAGACTTCTTCGGTGTGGATGCTAGACCGGGAAATATGCTAGGTGAGGCGATCTGGTGGTGTGTGTTTGAACAGCTACTAATCTTTCAGATTATCTTCTCGGTCATCCGTCAACCCTGGCTTCTTCCGTACCTATTGTTCCGATCACCACTTTGTGGTCCGTGCTTATGGATGGGTTTTCTCCCATCTGGCCGGAATCACGGACGCAGATTGATGGAGTATCTATTGGAGATGCTTGGAAGTGCTCGGATCTCCCCGATTGTCCTCCTGCAAAGCAGTGGGAGAGCATTGCTCCATTTCACAAGCTAACCCAATGGCTATGCTACTCGATCATGGTTCCAATGTCAAAACTGATGCTCATCCACTTCGCCGGGAGCGACCTCCTAACAGGCCTTCCGGAATATCGAAACGGAGGCCTGCTTATCGACCTGGGACTCATGACCTTGAAACCGGATGATATGCAGCGTGGAATCGATGCATATAAAGAGAATGCTCAGATCAAGGGTCAGCCAAGTGTCGAAGTGGCACCGCTCTTCTGCGCCGACGACGATGTAATTGTCGAATGGCGAGCCGCGACTGTCGGGTTCCTGGATGAGCTCCTAGACGAGGTCAACGCTCAGCTAGGGCTTAAGGGCTCGGACGAGCCATTAACACTAGCACAAATGCTTGAGGCTGGCACCTGGAAGGTAAGCAACTCAAGGATTCTCCAGTTCGATAAATCCTAACAAGAACCAGGGTGGTCGCGAGATTGCGGAAGTTTCGAGACCAAACACCAAGGAACCTCCTATCATGATACGATCTGACGGCACTGTCTTCTAATACCCTCTATTCCCATTTTAATTGCGGCTTTGATACCTGATATCTTCGTCCATCATTTGGTTTTGCTATTTGGGACGAGCTTTTTGATGAAATGAACTCTTCATGACCGAATACCTTCATACCTATACTTCACGTTTGGCTTTTCTACATTTACTTCAATTCCCTTACTTCCTACTTCCTACTTCCTTTATTCCACCTTTCCTTCTCTCCTCTTTCCTTCTCTTTCCTTCTCCTTCCTTCTCCTTCCTTTTTTCCTTCTTTTTCCTACCTTGAGCCTTTTCTTTTTTCCCTCTGTATTTGAGGCTATTCATCAGATTTACCACTGGTTTTGGGCGGCTTATTTCATACTCCATCTCACCCTTTTTTTTCTCTCTACTTGACACCCTCATGTTGATAAAAGCCATTTGACCATAGAACAAAGATCTATGATTTTCGGAGACCCATGAGATGTCGTCATCCCGTAACCTCGGCCCAAGCTCAAATAGAACAAACAGTGCCAACAGTGACAGTGCCAGTGCCAGTGCACGATTGCGAGGTCTCATCAGATCAGTAACTTGATGAAAACTTTAGAGTAGATAGATTGCTGGCATCGTCTTTTCTTCCTATCTCATCCCACAATCTATCCCAACACTTTAGAACATCCTGAGATCACGTGCTCGGGACAGCATTGTTCCATCTCCGCATTAGAAGTTGGAGCTCACCTGTCACCTTTCCTTATCTTGCTCTCTCGTCCTCAATCCCATTGTCAAGGCAGAAAAATGATAATATTGGACTCCTAACCGGAACTCGATACCATTGCACCTGACTGACCCTGTGAAGGCACTGAGTTGCCCTCCAGATCGACCCGAGTTGCCCCCGCAAGAGCGGGGCATTCAGCTCAACGGCAGCGCCACGAACATCTAACACCATGGATGCTCGGAAGAAGAAGAGAAAGGTGCTCCTGATGGGCAAGAGTGGATCGGGGAAGTCGTCCATGCGCTCAATTATCTTCAGCAACTATGTCGCAAAGGATGTGCGGCGTCTAGGTGCTACGATTGATGTGGAGCACAGCCACGTCAAGTTCATGGGCAACCTCACATTGAATCTGTGGGATTGCGGAGGGTGAGTAATGCGTACTCCTTGCAATCCGGGAGGCATTTCACTAACACCGAGGTTTTCCAGACAAGATGCCTTTATGGAAACCTATCTGGCCTCGCAGCGCGGCAACATCTTCTCCGACGTCGCAGTCCTCATCTACGTCTTCGACATCGAGTCCCGAGAAGTTGAGCGCGATCTCGACACCTACCACGCGATAATCGAAGCGCTGAGCGAGTTCAGCCCAAACGCCTACGTCTTCTGCCTCGTGCACAAGATGGATCTAATCCAAGCCGAGCACCGACAGCGCATCTATGACGAGCGCTCCGCCGTAATCCGCAGCCGATCTGGCGATTTCCGCGTCGACACCTTCGCCAGTAGCATCTGGGACCAATCGCTGTACAAAGCCTGGGCCGGAATTGTGCACAAGCTCATCCCGAACCTAATCGTCATCGAGCGCTTCCTAACTGCCTTCGCGAAGAAAATCAACGCCGAAGAAGTCATCCTCTTCGAGCGCTCGACTTTCCTCACCGTGACCTCGGTGACCTCTGAGGTCGGCGAGCTGAATCCGATTTACGACCGCCACGAGCGTCTCTCGAATATCATGAAGGCATTCAAGCACTGCGCCGCACGGAACACCCTCACAACACCGGCTTCGGCGGGCTTCGTCGTCATGCATACTAAAACACCTCAGTTTAATATCTTCCTCGGCCGCTTCACGGATAACACCTATATCTTCCTTGTTGTACCTCCCGGCGAGGCTTCGTACAACTGCGCTGTGCTCAACACAATGCTTGCCCGCGAGGGATTCTCGAAAGCAGCGGCTGGCAGTGGCGGCGGCGATGGCTTCCCTCTTCCTCCACCAGAAACGGCAGATGATCATGCGAATGGGTATGGGTATGGGTATGGGAATGGGTATGGACATGGGTATGGCAATCCCACGTAAAATGGGTAGTTGATTTGCCATTGGGTCTGGCTTTGTATAGCTACATAACTACTAGGGGATGTTGTCTTTCCCTTCCCCCCTTCCCCCTTACCTCCCTTTTGGTTTTTTTTGTTCCTTGACTTCTGAGGATTTATGACAAAATACAGCAGGCGCTGAATGATGGCGTTATGGATTAATGTTTTCTTCTTCTTTCTTTCTTTTCAACTTTCTGAGAATTGAGATACCCTGTGGGATTTTTTTGTACTTTTTTTTTTCTAAAAATATCATGAAAAATTACCCAGGTATTCTGCAAACTATTGAGAAAGCTCTTGAGTTTTATATAAAATCTATGTTTTTCTTCCCCATTGGTGATGGTGATGTATATATGCTTGACGTTGTAGATCATGCAATCGGCCTTGTTTCAAATGGAACTGCCATGTTAAAAGGAATACAGGCAGCCTGATACCAATGTTTCTATATCAATTCCCTGCTGTATACTGCATAGAAGCCAAATCGCTACAATAATGACAACAAGACCTTGATCATTCATGGCATTTACTTCATACAATACCGCAGTGACATAACATTTCATCCGAACCATCTATATTCCTAGCATCCGATGCAGAAGCGAAACGCATAAGAGAAGAATAAAAACATGGGAGGGATTTGATTATCTATCGGACCGGCCGGCCTCAACGGAGAAGGATGAAAAAAAAGGTGGGAACAAAAAGATAACTCGGACAAGAAGGGCATGAACGGCTGTACAAAATCAATCATCCAGAGAGCTTGAACGTTTTTCATTGGATTTCTGGCATGCGCATGGCAATGTCGCCCGACTGTGTGATGTATCGCACCCAGGGGAGAGAGGGGTATTGCAGCTGTGGGAGTTGATTGTTAGTGATAGATTATAAGAATCCACTGATGGGAAAGACTTACCTTTGGTTCGGTGATCTTCAGATATCGCACTTGGATGCCGCTGGTCGTGAAATAGGGGATCTCGAACTTGACGTTGATGGGACGTTTCGACTTGCCTACGCCGCCGGCTCCGCCCATGCTGCCTCCGAACCCACCGGTCATACCGCCGCCGCGCTCGTCGTCACCCTTGACAGAGGGTAGACCTAGCTCTGCGCGCATGAGGAATTCCTTGCCGCCGCCGAATTGCTTGATCTTCCAGATGATGGCGGACTTCTCGGGAGCGTAGTGCACGGTTCCGATATTTGTGCGGAAGCGCGGGGAGTCGGCGTCTTCGGGGACGGGGACGAGAATCTCCACGTTGTTGGCGGTACTGCGGCGTTTGAATTGGGCTTTGGCCTGTCGTGAAATACTGGTTAGGGATTGATATTTGGTAAACTGGGTGGGAATGTTACCTTGAGCATATATTCAATTCGGGATCCCGAGTGCGATTCAACCACGCACTCCACCCAGATCAACGGCTTCACTTGTGTGTTCAGTCGGTAGCTCATGAGCTCGAATTCACCGTCCGGAGGGATGAAACTGATTGTGCGGTCATTCTCGAAGCGCGAAAGTCGGACACACTGGTGGAACTTCACGTCCTCCATCTCGACCGACTTGCCTCGTGTAGCACGACCCGTGGTCTCGAACATGGCTTTGTCGTTCAAGCCCAATCGCAACTCTGGCATACCACTCAGGTAGCACTTCATCTTGACAGCGCCCAGAATCTCAGAGCGCAGGACGTTTCCATTTGCTGAAACGAGAAGATTGAGAGACTCGACCACGTCGAGGAAGACTTCGTTTTTGCGGTAGCGTATCCCCTCGCTGCGCCAGGAGACAGCATTTGTGACAGCGATAGGTGGCCGTGCTTGGACATCCAGCTTGTGTGACTCTTGGGTGATGTATCTGGTCATAGCGCAGGTCTGTTAGTTATGCTGTTTCATCACCACCCCCGCCGCACCAGACCCAGCTGCTTACTCTTGTAGAATCTTGCTCTCTGTTGTCTGCGGGTATCCAAAATCCATCATCTCATCCAGTAATTCGTAAATGACGACGAAGTTATCCCGAATACTCTCCTCCTCCAATACCTTGAAATATTCGGTGAAGACCTCCACCAGCTTGTGGAGGAAGAGTAGAATTTCGGTGGCATTTGTGTTTCGTTTGGTCAATGCGAGGATATAGAGGTTGCTGTGGCGGATATAGAGGTACTAGACGAAAACACCCCTGTGTCAGTACGTGGGAGCGCACAATAGGAGACACTCAGGAGTGGGCGTGGTCAGGGCAATGCCCAGGCTCGGTGGGACGCACATTGATTCCCTCGTGAGAGAAACAGGGAGGAACTGCTGAGCTTTCTTCTTCGGCATCACTGAGGAGGATAGGGAATTTCTCGACTGCGGACATGGGAATATCTCCGCGGTAATTGCGGGCCAGTAGGGTCTATAGATGGTCAGTGGGGGCTTGTCCCTGGACGCATTGACGATTTTCCCGGCAGGGGGTCGCATCGCCCTGTTCTGCACAGTTTCCAATAGCCTACCTTGCCCTTGAGGTCGAGGAAGAAGAGTGCCGACGCCATGACGTGTCAATGGGGGTAAATAGATGACGGGAGAAGTGGTGATGATCTGGTCTCTTGAGATGGGGGTGCGAAAGCAAAAAAATAACAAAGCCACCTTATGCGCCTACTGCAGCATTGTCAATAAAGCAGTAAGAACAAATAGAATAGCAGCAGATGAGGTGAGAAATGAAAGGAGCAGATCAGCGGAGGATTGTTGGCGATGCCCGCATGTCCCAGGCCGGAGATAGACGCCAAGCCCAAAGCGGACTAGCGTAGAAAATCACACATAAAAGCCCGTCGCGCACTTTTTTATTTCTTCTTTCTTCAACGCTCCCAATAGACAGTTCAAGGCAGTATAAAGTCCTTTGTGATTTTCTACAGCTACTCCGGCATTCTGTCGGAGTGCTATAGTGTTTTGATTACTACCTTGCGATACAGTGGTGCGGAGACTACGATCTTACGAGGGTTCCATAAGAGCTGGCCGAGTACTTTCTCTGTTACTCGGGCGGCGTCAGAGGAACCGTACATTTCTATAACTTCAAATGAATTTTTTATAAATCGAATCTTCCTTGTAAATTGTCCTAGGTGCTTATTTTGATTGTAATCTGCTCCATTCAATCTGCAAGTGCAACTCTTTCAAGTGGTATTTGGCAGTAGTCTGAGAAATCAAACGATATAAAAAAAACAAGTCTGTTTAGAAGTACATGTACAATCGTAGAGGTTCCCCGATTGAGAAGTTCACTCCCCAGTCAACCTACCACCGATGGAAATATCAAACAAGATAACGCCCTGAAAATGCTCCAAAGGAGACCAATACCCCAAGCCCAAGTCTTGGACCCTTACGAGACCGACTTGAGTCCTAGTGGTTCAAGTATCCGCTCACGAGCCACCTTGGTGGCAACAACTCCTCCCTTCTCTAGCGAAACAGCGCCAACGATAGCGTACATGGTATGCGCGAGAACGAGCTCAATACCGGAGGCACGGAGGTCGTTAGGCTGGGATCTTCGTTAGCTGGTGATCAAGAACACCAAAGACTAGGATGGAGGCATACCATTCTGGGACTCCATCTGAGAACCTTCTGTAACTCGTACTTGTTTGCAAGCTCAGCGAGCTTCGACCGCTCGGTGAGGATCTTCTTGGTCTCACCAGAGAGGTTGTTCAATCCATCCAGAGCCGGGTGGGTGAAAGGCACGCGACCATACTCGTCCTTCTTCGGTGCGGCACCTGTGTACGGAGAATCCTGTGCCAAAGCCAGCGATGCTTGCAGCTGCACAATGCGTTTTCCCAGGAAGGCCAGTCGATCGTTGAATCCGCGACGCCCTTGGTCGAAACTCTTATGCGTCACTGCCAACCACTTGGTCTCGTCCGAGAGGAGTTTGTCGCCGCCATTGCCGAACAATCGGATGTAGAATCGGTCTAGCAATAGCGGATCTGCATTGACGTGGAAGGTCGGGCGCTTGGAGTCAAGGTGCAGACTGAAGGGGGCCTTTGCCGCCGCGGGAGTGTAGGACCACCGGGGCTTTTCTTGTTGACTGGACTCCTCCGATGTAGAGGTCGCGAAGTTGCGGCATGGGATGACTCCCGCAATTGGGCGAACGGCGAATTTGGATGCAGTGCAGGCGGTCCTGGCCGCTCGAGAAGAAAGGTTCAAAGACATGGGGTCGGTGGTCTGCGTGTCTACTCGGAGTTGATCGAACGGAAAGCAAAGAATTCGGCCTGGGCGGTGTGATACTGCCGGTCATCAAATACCCAGACCCATGAGTTCTATGTTCACTGTTGCTCATGTCTGTTTTTCATGACTGCAATTCTTACAAAAACTTGTTGCTGAACTTAATTCTGTTCAATTGCCATCTCGCCGGTTTGACATGCAGTTAAACAACCTTGGAAGCCGGAGGCAACCGGGACCTTCACCGCTGCTGCGCGGTATCTTTTGCTCGAATGCTTGACCTTGTGCACCGGACCCGAAGCGACTAACGCTGATTCCGGCTGTTGCAGCCTACCACAGGCCAGCATGGCTATGACAGTTGGAGGTGGAACACACACAAACTTCCGACTCTGCCATGCCTCGATGCATATATGATCAAAACGGCATATGACTCACATTAATTAAGCACCTTGGAAGCCTATGTGGAACATTTTAGCGGTCAGGCTATGGAGCTTCTGAATGATGCTTCGATATACTCCATACCGCTAGTTGCGGGCCAAATCCAGCACACATAGGCTTTCGTTTAGCTTAGGTACGGCCCGCTATGATACACGATGTGTATTTACCCCAGCTGCTGTTGCTAGCAGCTTTGACTCATGTTTTCTGCATGTGCCCATTGAAAGTTGGGGTTCGACTGGGTGTAGATGGTCTCGCGGATATCCCCACTACTTTGTCCAGCAACATCCTTCTCTGGATAATATCGCTATTATATGAACCAATAGGAAACCTGTGCTCTCTCACCTTATAGGTTATAGGTCCAATAGTGCTGCCAGGTAACATCATCTGACTGGCTGACGGGCGACGCAACCGACCATGAGCGCGGCCCAAAGATCAGGGACACAGGTCTCCAGCCGCTGCAGAGAAACGGTGGGAAATCCAAAAGAAAAGAACAGAACCATACGGAAGGAGCTAGGCGATCAAGAAACATTCAAAAGAAGGTTCGGTAACCTTCTCGGAACACAGTCGTTCCGCGAAACCTGCCGGGTATGCAGAGGCCATAGCTACCTGGAGCACGGGGCAGTGTTTTTGGGCCTGCCTGGTTGCGGATGTACGCAGCTGGAAAGCTCAGCTGAGGCCCAGTGGTTGGCTCGAACGGCCCATGCCTCTCTGGGCTGCGGAATAACGGCCCTGCTGTATGCTGTATCATCGTAGCCTGAGCTCGTCCCCTGGATTAGGCAAGAGACTGTCATGTACCGAAGGCAAAACATGATCCACGTGTATTGGCGTTCGGTCTTATTTGGCCGTGCTCCATAGGTAGGCTTCCTTTTTCTCATATTGCCTCTTATGGTCGGTGGAAGCTTCTACGACTTGCATATCCATTCTTCGCACGACTAAGCAAGTTCGCAACCCACAATGGGCATTGTGGGAGCTCCGATAAAAGGACCGGGATATGTTAATGACAGTGCCTTTGCCCATCTTCGAAAGGTCCTAAGTTTGAAAGACACAAGAACACAAGCTCCTCAATGTTTGATGGCCTCGAATTCATACATACTTTTTACTAAAACAGCAGACGGCTGTTCAACCCAAACATTATTACTAAAAGTATTGAATAAGTAGCCAACGGCAAATCATCTAGAGCGAACCCAGTGAAACAGAATCCCTCAACAGACTGCAGGAATCCGAAGGGTCAGACCGCTGGTGGAACTCTGCCGTCTGCAGGCAGTTGATCCGGGGGAGAAGGATTTATACTCGTTCATTGCGGACATTAAGTTGTATACTATTTGCTTTTTGAGGAAAGATAATAGGGCAAAGTGGATATACTTCCAACTTCCTGTCGATGCTTGCTTCCGGGGAAATGAAAAGAAACAAAAATATAATACTCACGATAGCGGGTGTGACTGCCTGCGGGTACTATCTAATGGTTTATACATCAAGTCTTCACACGGGCCCTTGCAGACTCTACCAAGATATTGATCTTCACGGATAGTCATCCCCAAGGTCCACGGATAGCAACGGGAATATGACCATCGCCAAACGGCTTTTTGTCTTGATCCTTGATCGGGATGTTCGACAGGGTAGCGGTGTGCGACTCATATCGATGGCGACCTATGACCCCAGTTAAACTTGAGTCATTTAAATAGACATGGACTAGTCCGGATTTCAGGTCATCTTCCTTTAAAACACCAGAGTTCTTTGTCTTCGTCCTTTTCCCGTGTTTCGTTGCAGAGCTATACTTCCTTTCTCTGTCAACCCTGACTTGTGTGCTCCATTTCACTACAACCACACTCATTTCGTGCCTTTCAAACATCCAAATGGCTTTCAACCCTGCTTTTGCCCATGGCTTCCAGCCCACCCCTGCATCGCCGGCCCAGACATGCTATACATTCACGGGAAGCGACCCGGCTTGTGATCACTCCGTGCAAGATCCTCCTTCACCCCGACCTTTCCCTCCCAACCCTCCTCCTAGTCCTGCTTAGATGGCAGTTGCTTGGGTTTTTAATTGCTTGGCGTTGAGGCGACACGGGACAATAGGTGAGTGTTGTCTAACGCAGCCATATTCTAGATCCTCTAGATATATAACGGCCAAGTCGCGGAGATCTGAGTGAATACTAACTTACTTACAGATCATACCCCAACGCATTTTAACTGCGGTCTGACGGGGATATGCATTGATGGCGACTACGACTGGGATACCATAATACGATGTGTATCGGTGCTGGTACAAGAAGAATTGCGGGTGGAAAATGGCAAAGTCACGAGGCACACTGGACCCTAAGGGGACTGCATGTGTGAGAGTGAGAGTGAAGATGGCCCTCGAGTGACGGGTTAGTGACGGGTTAGTGACGGGTTTACATACTCGATGTGTTTTTCTCATCCGCATATCCATTGTCTGGCAAGATAGCTTAATGGAACTACATCAAGTGGGACCGATTGCATTTTCACACTGATACATGACATCTAGAAGTAGGCGAGAAGAGCATCTAGACTTTCACAACTCAAAATTGACATACTCGTATATTCAGATCGTGCAAGTAATCTAGCCCAACCCGAACGCAATCTCCAATTAAAACAGCTGAACAGACGAAAAAGAATCAGCGTCTTTTGAGCTTGCGCCAAGTGACCCGATTCGTGTATATTTTAGAAAATCAATTTAGTAACACATAGGGAAATTCGGAGGTATGGGATACGGAAACATTTAAATCAAAGCAAGACCAACAGCACTGGCAACGCTGAGACCAATCACAGTCCAGCCAGTCTTGATGATAACAGGGTTAGTGAGACCACGGCCGAGATCCCACATCAAGTGGCGGATACCGTTCATGCAGTGGTAGGTGAAAGGAAGGGCCAGGGTAGTCTTCAGGGCGACCTTGGCCGCGAAAGGGAGGGCACCCATGGCAGCGACCATGGAGGCAGACTCGATGTGCCATCCGAGAGCGGGAGAGGCAAGGTAGGCAGTAGCCCAAAGGTAGAGGGTGCCGGAGAGAGCCACACCAGTGATACGGTGGAGGGAACTACCGATCCAGCCGATCTGGGGCCTGTAGATGCTAAGATGAGGGGCAACAGGACGGCGAAGACGCTGCTGGACGAGGATCTCGTTGGGGTCCTGGGTGTTTGAAGTGACTTGTCTATAGACCATATTCCCTGGTTAGTATAGACTTATGGAGATTGCGGATGACGTAGGCATTCGGCATGTGCTTGATTCGAAGACGAGCGAAGCAATTAAAGCTTGTCGTTTAAGCGCTGTATAACTGACCTTGTCTGAATGTTCTTGCTGAGGGCAACGGCCACAGGCGAAGCGCCCATCATGGACGACCGCATAGCGAGCGGTTGCTGGACGGCAACTGTCCGGGATAAGTTAGATCGCAGATTCGGACAAGGTAGGAATTGGGCTAGACATACGCCGTCGCAGCGATTGTTGGGCAAGCTTCTGGGAGAACATTGTGATTGCAGAGTTGAGATTGTTCTGTTTGATCAGGATAGAAATCCCAAATGGCTCGCGATGGCTCGGAATGGACGGACGACCTCGGGTACGGGAGTCTTAAGTCACGGGACTTGCATCCGGTCGACAGCGGCTGCCAATCAGATCCGGTCTATTACCAGCCGGAATATCCTTATTCCCGACGCGCTACCGTGGTCATGTGACTGCTCGCCTGTTTTCCCACTTTCTTCCTTTCTTCCGTCCGCTGCTCTCTCTTCTTTCTCTTCCTCAAGAGTCTCCGCTCACGTCGTCTACTGGTCTTGGCTGGGATGATGTCGTCGTGTTAAGCTTTCCCTCACTGACTGCGGCTTTCTGTCGTGGACGCCGAGGGATCTAGAGGCTCTCAGAAGGAGAGTCCCGTCGTTAATCGCCCGTTCCACTCTACCAATGAGGGGAAGGGGTTTCATATTCAGGGATACATACTACATGTATCACATCCATTGATGTTTGTAGATCGCCAGGTTTTTCGGACGCAGTTGGTTTGAAATGTCACTGCAACTGTTGAAAAGCCTGCATTCGCTGTGGAGAAGCATCCAGCCGAGGCATTTATGTTTGCACGGTTGCTATATTCACTCGAGTTATGCAGTTATATTCAATTCATAATGGACAATTGAAACAATGATCTTACCTCTTACATGCGTCTGTTCGTAAATTGTCGTCGGTTGTAAACTTTCGAGGTTGGAGATGAAGCTATACACGGTTGGTTCCTTGTCACATGTCAAAGGTCAACCATGGCATATATTCTCTCCCTTCTTAACTAGGTCTGGGCTTGATATTCGATCTGCGGGCTAATACTCACAAGTAGATAAAGGGCTCTAGACCTCCTAGCGACATATGAATATCCCTTTGTTCAGTAATCAAAATTGCAGATGCAACCTCGGCACCTCGGACCTTCCCCACAAGTAAAGAGATCCGCCGCGTGCTGACATCCGTTTATTATCTGTTCAAAAACTCGAGAATCTGCTTGACTCTGTATTTTCCGAAGCGATCAAGGAAGCGATCATACTCATGTTAGTATATATGGTCCCTATTCGGGTTTTATCTTCTTTCCTTGGAAGTTACTGACTCCGCATCAGATTAGAAACCCCGACTTAACAAGATGCCTTTCAACACAGCCTTGACGCGAAAGCTCGGTATTCGAGGTGCGCTATGAATTCATTATTCTGCAAATATCACCAGCTGCTGATCACAGATATAGTGCCCGTCGTGCAGGGTGGTATGCAATGGGTTGGATACGCTGAGCTGGCCTCGGCTGTTAGCAACGCTGGCGGACTTGGAATTGTATGTTTACTCTTCAATGAAAGCCCTAATTTAATACAGTACTAACAATACAATCCAGCTCACAGCTCTCACCCAACCAACCCCCGAAGACCTCCGCAAAGAAATCCGCAGATGTCGCACCATGACCAAATACCCCTTCGGAGTGAATCTGACCCTCCTCCCCGCCATTGTTCCCCCCGATTACAGTGCCTACGCCCAAGTAATTATCGACGAAGGAGTCAAGATTGTCGAGACTGCCGGTAACAACCCCGGCCCCGTCATCACCCAGCTGAAGAAGGCCGGCATCATCGTCCTACACAAGTGCACGACCATCCGCCATGCCAAGTCCGCCGTCAAGCTCGGCGTGGACTTTCTTTCTATCGACGGCTTTGAGTGTGCCGGCCACGTCGGTGAGCACGACATCACCAATTTTATCCTTTTGAGCCGTGCGCGCCAGGAACTCAAGATTCCGTTCATCGCCTCTGGTGGATTCGCCGATGGCCAGGGTCTTGCTGCTGCCCTGGCGCTCGGCGCTGAGGGTATCAACATGGGTACTCGCTTTATGAGCACTGTTGAAGCCCCAATCCACCAGAAGGTCAAGGAGGCTATCGTCGCGGCACAGGAGACTGATACTGCGCTTGTGCTGCGTCGGTGGAAGAATACCTCCCGCCTGTTCGCTAACAAGGTGGCTAAGGATGCATTGAAGATTGAGCAGGAGAGTAAGACTGGCGAGTTCAGCGAGGTTGGGCCCTATGTTAGTGGCAAGCGGGGTCGTCAAGTCTTCATTAACGGTGACGTTGATTTCGGCGTAAGTTAATTGCAAAATTATGTTTCATGTGCATTCGCTGACTCTTTCGTTATACAGGTGTGGACTGCCGGTCAGGTTATTGGCTTGATTCACGACATCCCAACTTGCGAGGTCCTGCTCACCCGGATCGAGAAGGAGGCCGTGGAGGCGATGACTCGGACCAGGTCTTTGTTTATCGATGCTCCCTCCAGCAAGCTTTGAGGGGTTTTATGTTACAGATGTGGTCTCAGGCGTATTTAGCTTTTTATTGTTTAGAAAGATCTAACAGAATCATTTTGGGATTTTGGTGATGGCCCGGCTTTGTACATTTGCATTTTGAATAGTACTGCCAGGCTTTCTATCTTCACTTCACGCTCGTCGATCCACGTCATTTCCGGCGCTGAAATAAGAGCTACCCACTCTCCACAGGGGCTTGGTCAACGGTCGCATTCCCGAGCGAGGGTCCGTGATATTGCATCAAGGATCTGCAAGCACGCAGATCCGCGGACACTCGGGCATTCCTCCAACGCCAACCTCCAACAATAATGATCCAACGCGATAGCGAAGCTTTCGTCCAAGCCTACTAGAGGAAATTGAAAAAGAAAGAATGATATTTTCTTCAAAGCCCGCGTGTTCCCATGTGAGATCAAAAAAAGAGTGGAGACATCCTTGCATGCAGTCGATCCTCGGGGGAATGCTTGAATCTTCTACGTTTCCGGCTCTGACCATTGGTTCTGTCTCAGTTGTAGCATCGATTTCTCGACTATGCATGATATCATTCATCATGAGTGGTCCCCTTACCACCAACTTACACCGTGATGCTTAGTATTCTCACTGTGGATCGTGCTGTTTAGAGCAGGGTTAGAATATCTCGAAGTAAACGTAGCTGTACTTGAGGTTAGTATACGCAATCCAACAGCCCGAGCAAGTTGATCAAATCCCATTGCGTTTCACAGCAGCCGGTACAAACCAGCATTACCCCGTGAGGATCTAGATAGTGACATACCTCGTCCAACGTGTCTCCAGCCCAGAATTGAACGCGGCCGAACTTAGCCTCCTCCCGGAATTAGTTATTCAATTCATATATCCCAAACCCAGCATTCTGACAGCTATTCCAATCTCTATCACTATCAAAACCAATACCAACTTCACATCTCCAACCACATACCTATACCACAGCACACTCATCCTCACACAAACAAATCTCTCCAAAATGGGCTTCAAATCCACCCTGGCACGCTGCATGCGAAAGGACCGTCTCTCCAAAAGACTCTCGGCAACAAGCACCAAGGTCCACGACGAAGACTCAAACGATCTAATCAAAACAACCTCCGAAACAGTCTCGACCCGCGCAAGCATGGAGTCCACCTTAACCATGGTGCACCACTCGTTCCACGAACCAGTCCTGCCAGGCGAGTCGCCGGCGAACCGCATGCAGATCAGGACAGATAGTGGGAATATGCGGACGTTATTTGATGAAGACACTACTTCCAACCAACCGACAGACCGCGCTACCAAGGCGCTGTCTAGACCCGCATATCCGATTTTGAAATTGGATTGTCGGTCGCCTGTCGATGCACCGAGGAGGGTGTTGCAGGAGCCTTGGGAGATGTCAACAGATGGGAATAGGAGCAAAACCCCGGTGATTGCTGGTTATCCCGGAAAGGGTGCTTCGGGCTTTTCGTCTAAGACAACGGCCCAGGAGGGTCTTTCGCCCACTGAGAAAGTTGTGGCCGAGAAGAAGGATAAGAGGTCTATGGCGGCTTTGCTGAAAAGACATTGTGGATTGAACATCCCGCGCTCGTCGATTTCAATTAAGGCTTCGCGCGATCTTCAGTCGCCGAAGTGGTTGGATTCTGCTGGGGTTACGGAGGAGGAGGCTTTGGTGGATAAGCAGGATGGGAAGTGGGTGGAGGTGGATTTGCATGATGAGAGGAGGAGGAATAGTGTCTGGGGTGGTGTTGCGCTTGGGAGACTTTGGTAAAAAGTAGTGGATCGGAATGAGTGTTAGTTCTTTTGTACATAGTTGGCACGGTATTTAATTGAAGTCAAAATTGAACGGTTGTCTCTCTGAACGAATGGACATGATGATTTGTAATTAATTTCCATGTTGATAAATGGATTGAAGACGAGGCAACATGAAAAGGAGGTCATGAACAGGAAGTGAAAAAGGATCTAGCTATGCCCCAGCTGGTTTCGTCGAGGGGGCCGATGTAATGGAGTGCGAAGGAGCTTAGGATACTGGACGCCGAAAGCAGACGAGGGAGTCTAGTGAATTAGGAGAGAATTGACCGATCTGAGAAAATGGATGATGATGCAACGAGTCTAATGAATTAAAGTAATATATATGGAAAAGCCCTAACCGAGACAGAAACTGGGCCGTTCCAATGCGCAGGGAACAAGTAATAAGCAGAAATCAAAACAATCTTCTTTCTCCGAGGGTGCCACACGACACAAGTTAAATGATACACGAGATGGTTCAAAAGGAATCTAACTAATCAATTGAAAGCCAAAAGCCTACTTCCCATGCCCGAAATCGATAACAGTCCAAACCGGCAGTGGTACCATACTCTGCACCAAGGTCCAAAGAGCTGGCGAGATTGCCAATGCTTTTTGCGTGATGAGAGAAAACACGGCGAGACGCTTAGAGGATGGAGCCAAGGGCAACACAGGGGAGGCCGAGACCGATGAGGTCGGAGTTCTGTAAGATATGTCAGTTGTAGTCGAAATAGCGTGGATGTTGGAGCACTAACGGCGCTGGAAGGAGAGTTCTGGCAGCAGGCAATGTTCTGCTTGCACTTCTGGTTGATGAGATCCTGGATGGGGACACCAATGAGGACGGGGATCTGGAGATCCAGCTTGGAGCACTGGTCGAAGAGACCGAGGCCAGAAGCACCGGATCCGGAGCCGATCAGGTTGCTGAGGGTACCACCGAGGATTCCGGAGTTGATGTCGGTGGTGTCACCGGCGTAGACAGCCTTGTTGCAGCAAGAGAGCTGGGCCTGGTCACCACACTTGGCCTGAGCCTGCTTGACAGTCATGTTGTCGGGGACAGCGAAGCGAACGTCGGTGTTGCCCTTGTTGCCGACACCGTTGCCGGAGCCAGCACCACCAGCGGAGGCGCCTCCAGGGGGAAGAGCGTAGACAGTGGCAGCGAGGCCGAGGACAATGGCGGAGAGAGAGAACTGCATTGTGACGGTGGATTTGGATTTGAACGAGAGAAGACTCGGAGAGTGTAGAAGATTGAAGAATAGAAGGAAAGAGTGAAAGAGAGTGTTTGATGTGGATGAAGAAAAAACAAAACGAGGGCGATGAATCACCTCATCTTTATAGATTTGACCGGCGGTCTGTGAGTCGCCCTGACTCCATACTCTAGGGCCAAATTGTTTTGTTTCCTGCCAAGATGATATCCAGTATGTCCCCGGAATGTTACTGGTTAGGAAGGGGAGAGGGAGATCGCTCCACTCCGCAGGGCTTGCAGGCCAACGAGGGAGCTCCTGTGGAGGCTCCTGGTATGGATCTACTGCCAGGTTCTCACTTCACGCGACTAGGGACATACCTGGCATTCCCTTGCCCTCGCTCACCTGCCTGGCCGAGGGGAGTGTCCACAAATTGCCTGTAATGTTTGGATGAAAACAGGTGTAATCCAGATACAGCTATGCTGTACCTTCTCTAACTACAAACATCCATAGCCCGTAAACCTAATCAAAGTAAGCTTAAGCTCTTCAAGTGGGTCTAAGGGCGTCCCTGGAGACTTCGATTTCCCAGTACAGGGGCTTTTCTCCCTTTCATTGGACTTGCACTTTAGAAGCTAAGGCATGTAACGTATACACTAATTACTCATCGAAGGCACCTGACTCTACTGAGAAGGCTGGGATTCTTCCTCTAAGTGGTCGAATCTCCGTAGGAGGATCATCTGCAAGGGTGACTGCACCCCGGGCACTAAACCTACGTAGGGAGAGAACCAAGACACTCCCTTCATTGTTTAATTTCCTTTAAACTACGAGGAATTGAGCACTGTAATGGTAATCACGAGCCATTCCCGTGAAGTCTCCGATTGGGATCTCGCTTTCCCCCGAGAATAATGGTGCCGATTGCGACCAAGCTTCCCCCTGGCGGCTTCTCACAGACATGAATCGGTCTTGTTTGCATGGTTTGACCTCACACATCTTGTACCCTTCACTAGATTCTTAGTCAAGTAATCTCTTCCCTTAGTCTATCTGTAGTCTGCATTGCTAGTGTACCTTACTTCTCAATTTAGTCCCCTGTCGCATTTTCTAATCAAGTCTTCGATGACCTCGAGAATGGCCGGGATCTTGCTAGATTCATTCAAAATGCGTATCGCAATCTTATTGAGAGTAAGTCCGTCGATGAATTGTATAGTCACACTTGAATGAGGACGATATGGAGAATGTAGTGGAAAATGATGCCTGGCGTCCTTTGCGCTGCCCACAGTATTAGATAGTACGTCATTCTAGTAGAGTATCTGGTAGTCAATGGCCTAATGGTCGCTACTTGGGGTAATTCCCCAACTAGTAAAGTGCAACGCTGATTGATAGTCAACCGGCTGTTCTAGTAGTCTTCACGTAATGAATATACCACAATCTCATAATAGGTTAGATAATTCTCTCTATGTCTCTAATAATAGTTTGGTTGTGATCTTCTTATTATACTTCCTGCTGAAGTAGTTGGGGTAGGAAATATTTGTTTGAATGTAGAGGTTCTAAATATATATTTCGTCGGAGGACAACGATTCCAAGATACAGCACACAATATGTATATTGTAGACCTAACTACATAACAATAAAAATAGTGTTTTCAGATATGCAATTGCTCAATGGATTTAACTATATCATTTACCAAATTTCCTAATAGTACCTTCATGGTCGTTCATGGTGCCAACCAAATGGTCGAAATGTCTCTCTCCTAACGCCTGCCGCACCTCCCACGCGTGTTCAATTAAATCTGAAAAAATACAGAGATTTGACGACCATCTCTAGCAAAAATTCAAGGTCGCGATCGATCCGATTGAGTATTTTTTTTCAGCGTTGACCAGGCATTTTCAATGGGGTATACCCTACTATGGCTATTAGGACCAGTTCCCATTCTACATCAACTGATCGGCCGTGAATAAGCGAATTATCTTGCATAAATGTTCCTTCAAGATATTAGTAAACGCGAGGAATTGCAGCCTCTAAATCTCCAAAACATCGCAATACACGGCTTCAAATGAGGGTGTGAGATCCGCTATCTAGGGATGTACGGAGTACCAGGGTGCCCGCCGCTTGCTATGGTCTTATAAAACATCTATCTATCTAACGAAATTCCGTATTTATATCAATTCAAAATGGAAATAAATCAAGGGAACAGATCTGAAGGCGCATCTCCTGAAAAGACCTCCAACCCCGAAACAAAATCATTCCATAGCATCTTCGAAGTCATGGGCGCATTACTATATGGCTGGACACCAGAAGCCCTCAAGAGATCATTCATCCGAGGAAGTAAGACATCGACTGCCTGCGCTTCCATTTCGCGTTGAATTTCTCTGCTGAGTCCACCTTGTTCAACGTACCACGCTGAGTCTTCCTTCAAAACCACGCTCTCGTAAAGGTTAAGCAAGCTCGGGTCAACATTGGCATCTATAGCAGCTTCATAGGCCATCCTGTGACCAATCGCCTCAACTAATGGAAGAGCGAGCGGGAGGATATTTCGATTGAACCGCTCGCTTCGGTGAATCCCCTTGGCACCTTGTTGAAGGAGATCCCTCGCTTCGGAGAACAGGGAGGCCTCATGCCGAGCAATGGGGCTGGTGGAATCGTTCGGTGGCGGCATTTGATATCGACCGAGCAATAGTTCCGACGCGAGTCCTGTGTTTCACGGTTAGTCTTCCTCGAGAAATTTCAAGTTCCAGACACGTACGGATAGCAAGGACGCGGATATCACCCTCTGCAGTCGATGCGCCGCGCATCTCCAGCTAGGAAGGAGAATCAGTCAGCTGTCAAAGGAGTAAGTAATACTAAGATCTTACCTCCATCTGAAGGAGTTGATTATGCTCATAATGCCCGTGCCACCCACACCGTTCATTCATAGCGGTGATGCTTTTGCTGAAATGACCCAGTGCTATCGCCTTGAAAGCTGTGGCTATACCATGGCGCACTCGGGGGTCAACGCTCTGTTCTCGGAACGCTATCGCTGCAGAAACTAGGAATGCTTCTAGCACACTATACTGGGCGATAGCATGGAGGATGGGCATATGTTGAGTCCGGAAATCAATCACTGCCATCGGGGTTCCATCCTGGCCACTAACAAGCCTGTTCTGGCTGAAACAGGCAGCATTGTAGGCAGCGAGCTTGAGTGACGGTATGACACACCCGGAGAGGAAGAGAGTCCCCACTGCAACGCGGTGAATCGAGGATAAGAACTCTTCGCGCTTGTCTTCTGTTCCTTCAACACTACCAAGTAAGGCGGATTTTGGTAGGCGAACGTGGTCAAAGTATGTGAGAGCATGATCGACTGGATGCGCACCAGTTCGTGGAGGCAAGGCCCTTTTTAAAGATTAGCTCTTATAGTTGAGGTATTGGAAGGCGCTTGCGGCTCACTTCGACATAATACCCTTGCACATCTCTTTTCCGTTTCCAAGCTGGACTAGGAATGGCCGGATTCCACAGTCTTTATCTCCACTCACAAGACGAGCCATCACAATTGCAACCACTGGAATACCGCCCCTTGGGGTGGTTGGCGGCATGACCCTGAGACTATCTGTTAGACAATTTCAGAACTGAATGCTTATATTCTGCAGCTTACTTTGCATCGTTTGGGGAAGGAGTATGAAGGTCGATGTCACCATCAGGCAGAATTGTTGCGGTTGTCTGTATATTCCGTGCATCTAATCCATGATTCACTTCGGTCAACATAAATTGTGCCCTGGATTTCAGCCCCGTTAGGTATAAATATTTGAAGATTTGCTTATGGATAGACCCACGAGAGATCGAAATCCAAAGCGGATTGGAGGATCCGCTGGAGCTCTGGACGTTTCAATGCAAAAGGAGCCAGCGTGCCCACAAATAGGTTGCACTGGATACTAAGGAGGGTGAAAGCTCCACCGTCGAGTGTTAGTAGAGGCTCTCGGTGTAGCTTCCAGAATTTAGGAGTGATGTATAAAACATCTTTAAGCGTCAGGCCTATTACAGTTAGTGGTTGCATATAGTGGCGGAAGATAAATAGGGAATACCATATGCATTAGCAAAAGCCTTCGCCCTCTGGTAACTCAGTCTGGTAGATTTCTCTAGACTGAGAGAGCGTGGGGCTGGCTTGAAGAGTTCCGAACGTGCTAGATCCTCCATGGCTAGATCTACCTGCTGTAGCTGCAGCAGAAACTGCTGTAATCCGTTCTCCATAGTGGGCAGTTATTCTGTATGAAGGGTTTGAATATATTCACTATCGAAAAGGGAACACTTAGGGGTATATAAACCACCCGAGAGAAACTACTTTATGCATTTCAGCAGGGTTAGCCAGCAATATCCCGCTTTTTTTTCGATAGACCTGATCGGTGCTGAAATTTAGAACACAAGACATACGTATTGGCATAGTGGATCGACAAAAAAGATAATGCCAGTTTCTGGTTATAGGGTTTAGCGACTCATCATTCGATGCTGCCTTCGGCTTTTCCTTCCTGTTTATGGAAGCCGGAACAGATCGGTGTATTCGGATCAATATCACGATATTATACTGAATATTAGGAACATGTGGATTCTGTCAAATTCATGGCTAGCTGGGTCTCCATTTTTTATTGACTAGGGTGGATCCAAGGTATAGTTTGTCTCGCGTGAGGATCGAATATAAGTGGATTTGCTGACCGCTAGAACAAAAATAGGGGTCTAGCCTGTTGATCGATTAAGTTGGTGAGATCGATCTAAATATCTCAAAAGTTTCGGATCTTGAAGCTTGCATTGATCTATGTTCGATAGAACCTCGAATCCGGAGAAGATCGAGTGAATACTAGGTCCAAATGCGTTATCGGCTACTCCGGAGATTTGTATGCAATTATTTCTTTTCCATCGCATGTGTATTGAGGAGCCTTATCATTGTGGAAGACCGTGTTCTCGTATAGAGTACTTTTACTTTGTATGCGGGCTATGCATGCAAGATCCCCACTGCTGGAGGGAATATACTCCTCACTATCTTCCTACAATGAGTACTCCTTACATAGCGCCACGAGACGAATCTTCACTGTATCTTCCTGTATGATCAATGCAAGTGTAGTTCAGCACAGCCAGAGAGTCGATACATCCACGATGACTATATTCAAGCTTATGCTGCATACTAAACAACTCAAACCAATAAATCAACCCAAGGTGCATTAGCCATATCAGCAAGAGTTTACTAGACAAAATTATTAGATACCGAAGAAAAGATACAGTGGCAACTTATATTCTATATCACAATGAAAGAGGTTGCGTAGGCTCTTGATTAGCCCAGCTCATAATCTAAAGTACCTGAGACTCTTGCTCAAGCGCGCCATCCCCTATGACACCGGCCTTATTGGATATTTTGGACAGGTACTGTAGACGACAATCAGCATAGTGATGATGTAGACAGATGACACAATGCAGCACTTACGGTTATAATTGCAATTGTCTCGGTCAGCGTAAGCCTGCAGCTTCGATGCCGGGAATCTTGCCCTGGCTTAGTGGAAAGTTTGGCAATCTACATGACCTTACCGATATTTGGGTGTAGAATTACCTCGACGAGTGCGTATGGTACTCCTTTGAGTTTGGCCTCGAACATATTAGTTAGTTTCCTATTATCGGGCTGTGATCAGATTGACGGCAAGATGTGCTAAGCATATAGGGGTAGTTATACAAAGATCAAAGCGTTGATATTATATATTAGCGATTGACTTTCAATTACGTCCAAATCATATTTTTCAAGAATAAACGAGTCGTATATATTATTCCCAGAAAAAAACAAGTTTGATCAGATCGAGCCCTAGTCCGCATTGCTTTGCATTCAATACATGCAATGGAACAAATGACGATCAGACAAAATGAATTAAAAATCTGTTTCTCAGAAATTGAACAAGAAGATTATTAGATGAAAAGCGCCAAAAGGGAAATACCAAAAGCCCAGAGACTACACAAGGGTAGTTTCGATCCAACATTTCCGTAAGCGACAGTTTCAGTTGGCTCGGATCCTGAAGGCTTGGAGACAGTGATCCCAGGGGCAGTTGGCGGAAGAGAAGAGGTGGGCTTGCAGCTAGTTGTCATCTTCGAAGAGGACGCGTGCGCATAGTGATGGGTCTTGGAAGGAGTACTGGTCGTAGTAACAACCACCAGATTCACAGATGTTGTTGAGGAACAAGTGACCGTGCTGAACTCAACGAGCGGCACAGTTGCTGTGTGCGAGGCCCAGCTGATGGTGGTACAGGGAGCCTGAGGGACAGTCGTGGCTACAGTCTCAACAAAGGTACGTGTGTTGCCAGTGATGTGAGGGCCAGCAGTGGTCTTGGGAACGAGGGGAGAAGTGCAGGTTGTAGCAATGTCTACAATAGCAGGGTTCTCCGGGACGAAGGGGGCGCAAATACCAGCGAAGTAAGCAAGGGCGGAATCTTCCTCCGTCTGGGAGGTGCTCCAGGCCCGAATGCACCCGCTAACTTTGTCCGTAAACTCGGTGGATGGGCAGAAGCATCCCACATCGCTGTTGGAGTCACACTTAGGAATAGAGAGCCATGTGTTGAGACACTTGGGGACCACGTTGGGGCAAGGGGCAGTAACAACGGGCGGGCTGGGCGCGATTGGGGTTGGGGTACTAATGGGAGTAGTGTGCGAATGAACGAAATGAGATGTTGTGCAGCTTGTGCTAGGGGTTTGCACGGGCGTAGACGAGGTGCAACTTGTGCTAGTGGACGTTTGCACGGGCGTAGATGAGGCACAACTTGTGCTAGAAGACGTTTGCACGGGCGTAGACGAGCAGGGCGTGCTTGACAGTGGATGTGTAGAGGTAGTAAGAACGCTTGAACTAGGGCATTCAGTTGCAGCTGATGCCCATTTAGTGACGATGATCTCCTCAGTAGTCCAGACTGTGGAAGTCGTCATATGGTGCCAAGAATGGCTAGTCGTAGGAACATCCGGCACAGACGAGGTCCAATGGAAAGGAGGCAAGGAAGCAGTCGACTTCGGGGGGTCCGAAGGAACCGTCTGCACGGGCGTAGATGGGCAGACTGTGGTTGACAGTGGATATGTAGATGTAATCAAAACAGTTGAATGAGCAGGACAGTTAGTCACGGTTGGTGGGCATTGGGTGATGGTGATCTCCTCGGTAGTCCAGACCGTGGAAGTCGTCCAATGCTGGAAAGAGCTGCTAGTCGTAGGAACCTGCGGCACGGATGAGGTTGAATGGAAAGGAGGCAAAGAAACAGTCGAGCTCGGACTAGGCTCAGAGTGATAGTGAGAGTGAGAGTGAGGGGGTTCAATGACAGGAACTGGTGGCTTGGACCCAGTAGAGCAGTCAAAGTCGATTGAATGGATCTCGAGATCACAATCACCAAACTTGCTCTCTTCAGGAAGCGTGAACTCGACTGAAACAGCACCGCCACACTGGTCATTGCCAACATCGGTTCCCTTGTACGAGCTCGAAGTGACATGGTGACAGGAAGAACCATCGGGCATCTCATAGATGATGAAGATATCAGTGTTCCGGGAAGTTGAAAGATGGAAGTTTCGGATTGAGAATGGAGCGTCGGCGGCGGAAATCTTGATTGTCCAGTCATCATCACGAGAAAGCTTTCCCCCAAGGCAAGTACCCTTAAAGTAGTTAGAATCAATAGCATTTTACATATCCAAGAGCGACCTACCCCGTAACTAGATCCATGACAGCCATTCTTGGGCTCGAGGCCAACGAAGTGGAAGCCTTCAAAGCTCCAATTGTCACCGTTTGCCAACTCAGACAAGTCGAAGCCTTTCTGCTGAACATCGGAGCACTGATTGTCGGTGTTCTCTGGACTGGTGTAGCAGACATCGGTACCCCACCACTAAGATATCCAAAGTCAGATTTGTATTCGGAGTTGTAGAATGGAAATACTCACAAGGCCAGCCGGATGAGCTAGTGCAGCGCTAAAAAGCGAAAGAAGAGCAATTCCCTTCATAATGGGCAAAGCTATATTAGTTCAAGCTAGTAATTAAAATAATATAATAAAATGAGTGAATGACGCGAGTTGGGCGTGGGTGTAAAAAGAACGTGGCGAGGTTTGTCGACTGGATGTTGGATGGAGAGCTTCCAAGAGTGCCAGGACATGGTCCTTTTTAACCTCAAATAAGATATTCGGACGAACTACTCCCACTCGGGCTCTACTGTCAACAAAATCAGAAAGTAGAAAGGAATGTCAGCCACAACAGCATAGGAATTCCCCATCGATCCAATGGTGAGAACTCATACTCGTGAAGCAGCTGGATTCACTGAAATCAGGGATCTCACATCGCTGTAGTTCAGGGAATCAATGCAGGGGGAACATTCCAGTGCTAGAAGCCCCGAAAGCCAATCAGAGCAGTCGGTAACTATTCCCGAGCTATAGGGCTCGCTCAAAATCTCCCGCAAGCCCAAAGGGTTGGGAATTATGCAAGGAGCTACACCTCTCGATTTATTTAGCAGTTTGGAAAGACATGTTCAGGTTATACCAATTTGTATCCTACAGTCTCTAAACACTTTCCTAGTTATGAATGACTCTATTAGTACCGTTGTAGGTTTGTGACGTGTATTCGGTTTCAACTGAAAATGTTCAATTTTCCTTCATACTCCCTAGATATATCAAAGCCTGTATCTATAGTTCGATTGTGGTATCTGCAATCCACGAGGCGTTGAAATACGTGGAAGAGATCTAAAACAGGGCAAACTAAATATACATTCCTGCTCGCGCATTCCACCAGAAAGTTGCCTAGCAAGTAATCGTTTCATTTTCTCTTGATAATTGTGTTATATCAAATAAAGCTTGGGCAAAGCCCACACATAAATCTGTTGTTGACTATTCGTATGCCCGCGGGAAGCTCCAAAGGGAACTTATATCGAGTGGAGAAGATAGCGCACCACGGGTAGCAGGATATTTCCATGTTCGAAGAGCATGCTCCTGAGATCGTGCTGCTGAGATGATTGTCTGAGTGCCAGTCCTGCAGTCCGCATTGTATCTCGAAGCCAATCAGTAGCAAATCCGAAATCTAGAAATCAGTCCGTTGAAGAACACGGAAAGCTGAACTGCGAAGTATTTCAGCATTGTAATGATCTAAGCTTCATCTGAAAGAAAAGCGATCCATTCAATCAAGTTAAATACAGCGCCGTCGTGGAGGATGTAGGTGCAGTCCTCGACTCGACTTAGACGCTAATCCAATTCGGGATTAGCGTATAAATCGAATCATTTAGGCAGGCGGTGACTCTTAAATGAACGCACGGACCCTCTATTTCGACTGGGTAGATCGCATCCACCGATCTCTTTCTCTTTTGTCAATTGTTTATCTGACTGCAAGTATCGTTCCTTTTATTGCTCAGCATGTCTGACTCGCCAGAAGTTTCCAAACCTGTTCCACAGGAGCGCGCCAGTAGCTCGCCCATCCCTGCTTCGTCGGGCCTTGAGACGGAAGCCAAGCATGACATCGACAGCCAGAAAGACCAGGCGGAAAAGAATGACCCCCAACCCACCGAAGAACTGGAGATCCCCGCATCCAAGTCGCAACCCGATGAACCAGAGCAAGATGAAGTGACATCTGCACCACCACTCCCCGACGAAGTCCCACCTCCACTTCCCGCCGAGGCTCCGCCTGCGAAGGCCGAGGACGATGGATGGGAACCTGCATGGGACGCCACTGCAGGGGCATATTACTTTTACAACCGCTTCACTAGAGTCTCCCAGTGGGAAAACCCTCGCGTGCCACAGGTCCCAGGAGTCCCGGAAATTTCAGCAGCACCCGGCACAGAAGACGCAGCCCCCAAAAAAGAGCCAATACTTGGTGGCTACAATCCCGCCATCCACGGCAATTACGACCCCACCGCATCGTACGCGCAGTACCACGAAGAGCCAGCACAGCCCACGAACGCAGCCGGATTCGAACCCTCCGCAGCATATGCAGCTACCGGCACATTTAACCGCTTCACTGGACGATGGCAAGCTGCAACAATCAATCCGGAGAATCATAATGATGAGAACAAGTCTCGCAGACAGATGAACGCTTTCTTCGACGTTGATGCCGCGGCAAATAGCCATGACGGCCGGAGTTTGCGCGCCGAGCGCAGTGCAAGGAAGCTAACAAAGCAAGAGTTGAAGCAGTTCAAGGAGAAGCGTCGTGAAAAGAAGGAGGAGAAGAGGCGGGCTTGGCTCAGGGATTAATGGTGTGTAGCTATGTTTAAGTTCTGGGAGGAAGGGAGGGTTATTCGATGTATTCTCTCGTTGCCACCGGTCGCATTGCAATTTCGGAGCTTTTTGATACCATCTCACCGGATGTGAGAGCCGGCGTTTGAGCTTGTTTGATTCTTTTTTTCTCGGCGTTTTGCATGTGGATAGAGGCAGACAGACTTCCTGTCGTCTATCCACGATTGAGCAAAGTTATTTGTACAGCGTACCATGTATCAACACAAACAATGTCTCATAATGAGGCTCTCCTAGTAATTTAGATTCGTATTATACGACACGTTGCGACTAGCGTCCACGTTAATTCAACGACTTCTATTGTACCGTTCACTGATAGCCCACTATCAGTCACATGACCCGCGATATCAAATTATTTTTTGCGGCGATCGCTTCATTTGTTGCCGGATACTCTACGCTAGAAAGCAAAGAACTGAAAGCAAAGGTAAGATTGAATGTATTCCCTGTTGATTGACTGGAAAAATACCCTCAACACCGACTTTCATTTTGTGGCTGGAACTTAGCCTTCACATTGAAACGCTTATCAACGACCTGATTGCATGGATATATCGCGGGGGAGGATGCGTACTATGCAAAATCCCCAATTCCACGAGTCCTTTATGATTCTAGATATCCTACCCTTGCTTTCCTTGCTCATTGTCCTGTCATCTTCCGTGAATATCGACTTATTACTGACGCCTTACTCCAGCTATATCAAATAAAGTGGGATATCAAGAACAACCCCACCAAAAAGAAAGAGAAAAAAAAAAAAACATAATATCAAAATCCTGGTTCATCACACATCATGTCCGCCTCCACGACATCACAAGCAAAGCCTTCAGTGCCAATCGCACTCTCCGCCGAGGCAGTCGACGACCTGATCTATGACGCCCGAGCCGGCGACCTCGAGGCCCTAAATGAGGACATCGCCAATCTAGTCAGCCAACACAGCTGCAACGAGTCACAGATCGTGGCATCCGCCATCGACATGGCAGATGAGAGTGAGGGTGGCTCTGGATCCTGCATTCTGCACTTCCCCGCTGCGAATGGAAACTCCGGTATGTCATTTCAACGACTTGACCTGACTTGCTTGTTTACTAACACCGCTCAGAAATCCTCAAAACTCTGCTCCAAAAGCTGTCATCTGCAGACGCAGCGCAGCGTGTCGCGTTCGTTAACCACCGCAACAACTCTGGCAACACGCCTCTTCACTGGGCTGCGCTCAACGCGCACCTGGAATGTGTCAAGGCACTTGTAGAAGCCGGCGCCGACCTTGAGGTCAAGAACGATGCTGGTCACGATGCTGTGTTCCTCGCTGAGCGGACGGCGTGGGCTACTGTTGAAGGTGATGAGGAAGCCGAGGGTGCTGAGGGCGATGATGCTCAGGTTCAGGAGATTGAGATGACTATTGGTGAGAATGAGGATGAGGAGAAGCCTGCTGAGGGCGCTGGTGAGGTATCTGCCGGCAGACAGGTTGTTGAGTGGCTCCTGGCTTCGGATGGTGGCGCTAATTTGGAGAAGGGGGCTACTCAGGGTGAGGCTAGTGGATCTGCTTGATTTATGTTCGAGGAGGTCGGAATGACATTGGTTCTTTTTGGGCGGGATTGGAAATGATTGAAGAAAAGTTTAAGATTTCACGCATGCAATCGGTGATATGGGTACTTTCTATTCTTGCATATGTTGTTTGTTCGTGTCTATATTAATGCATTTTGATTATTTCTATCATAATAGTACACCGAAAGATGCTGCAGGGCTTTTAGAATGCTGCCCTAGTATACAGAATGTTCATATCCTCTCATTTACATATCAGTTCAATCACTGCGAACTTTTCCCGTCACCGAGCCGGTGCAAGACGAGACCCCCATAGGTAGCGGAGTAGCGGGATCGATCTCCCGAACTTTTGCATCGAAGCCGACCTTGAAGCGCCGGTCTCGCCAGACGACTGTCACACCGCCATACACCGCCATGATCCAGATAGGCAGGGCCAGCAATTCGCGGCCGAGCCAGGCGGCGAGCCATTGCATGAACGGACGACGAGTAATATGGGATGATCGGGAGCGTTGAGGCCGAGCGAAATCTGGGGTATCCTCATCCAACTCGATGCATTTTGCGGAATGCAGCATGATATATAGTGTCCAATCGACCAGGATCCAGAAGACTATGCCAAGTGCGAACAAAACAAAAAACGCACGCCACGTCCCGAGACGGGCAGCAAATTGCACGCCATTCCGCTCGAGATACGGCGCCAAGGCAGTGGTGATGCCCCAGGCACCATAGAGTGTGCATAGGAATGACTCAGTGCCTGGTTCGACAAGCGTAGCGAGAAGAACGGTAAATTTACGGACTCGCAGCCACCGGACACGCCGGGCGATGTATGCCGGCACGCTCATGTTGGCAACAGGCTGAATAGCCATGTCACCAAAGACCATGGCATGCTTGCCCCAACGCTCGCGGAGCTCTTTCTCTTCCCGCACCTGCTTCTTCCACAGTAGATCACCAATCAGATGGTCCTCACAGATATTGTCGGAGAAGAAATCGATGCCAGGATGGCGAGCTTGGGAACCCGACACCGAATGACTGGTGAGATAGTCAAGGTGGGAGCGGCGGAACATGTTAGATTTCCCCACGATGCACGGCGCAACAAGTACCGTATTGATCGCGGTGTACATTTTGGCGTGCGCGGAGGACAGGAACAGCTCTTCTAAACGACCGCCTCCAGTCGCGATCATGGCTGAAGGCCCATCCTCTGGACGGACGGACGGCATCGCTGCGGCCGCTGTATCAGCATCCGTGGCTTCTGGGTTGGCATCTAGGAGCGCCTGCCGCTCCTCACGCAGGTTGCTATCTCCTGTAACATCCACTGCCACAGGTAGATGGTGCACAAACTTGTATTTCTTGCTCGATGAGGGTCCAGTCCCGCACAGCCTGTCTACCATCCGGGCACAGACTCCCTTCCCGACCCAGACATTGCAGTCAATTATCCAGACGATATCTCCTTTCGCTTCTCTGTATGCGCGGCTCATATTTCGGATCTTGGGATTCGGTCCGAGCGTGTACGTATTGATGCCATCCTGCTGCAAGAGGGGATCCTCGTCTTCGACGAAAATTTGCGCGTCCACATGCGGGAAGTCGTTAATTAGTTTGCGGAGGGTAGGATAGGCTGGGTCTGCACGCGTCGCCACGCAGAGACGAATGCTGAGCTTGTCGCGCGGGTAGGACTGTCGGAAGGTGGCAGCAAGGCAGTCATAGAGGTGCGGCTCAAGGCCTTTGACGGGCCGGATGGCGGTGACGTGCGGTACATCGGAGGCGGAGGCGTTTGTTAGCCGTGACCGATAAGGCTGGCTGAGGAAATATTTCCATCTGAGCAGAAAGGGATTGCGTTAGGACATGGTAGCTCAAAAATAGCAGGCCAAATCGTACATCTGAAAATATCCTAGGCTGCACACCGCCAGTATGAATGCATACCAAATCAGGGCAATCCAGCCGATTGCGACGGACGCGTACAGCGCGCCATCGTCAGACCTGCGAGCGAGGAACGAAAAGATGTGCTTTAGCATGGGACACGAAGGGAAAGCGACATGGAAGCAGACGAAAAGGACATTTTGGAGGAGAAAAGAAGCAATTGGATCGGGTGGATTCTCATTTCGGCAGTTAGCTGTCTCCGCCCTCACAGTCAGGTACACGGCCAACCAGAGGACATCTCGTTCCACTAGTATACGGAGTCAATATCAAAATAGCTTGTCTGTTCGGAACCCCCGGATGTAAGAAAACGTACTTCTACAGTTGAATTGGGGCAATTCGGCAATTGGTTGCTATTAGATTATTTTCGAATGTCATTATGAAGACAAAAAGATCCATTTCCCCCCAAACTCCAAGGCCTATTCCATGATACCAGACGCAATGCAAATTCCCCTTTAATCAAGTTTTTTTCTTCTTCCGGACCAAGCTCGCATTCAGCACGTTGACACTAGTCGGCTCTGATGGAGTAGGTTGCGTGTCTCCCGATCCACTCGGTGTTTGGGCATTCACAGCGGGCATGTTGTCCTCGCCCAATGACTTCTTTCGCTTGCGGATCAATCCGAGATCAAGGACATTGTTGGCGGTGGTATTGGCAGGCTGAGTAGTGCTGCTCGTGGTGTTGGTGCCGACAACCTTCTTGCCCCACGTAAGCTCATCCGCGAGAGAGGAAACTTGGTCGACGTAGAGTTTGGTACTGGCGATGACTTCTTTCTCATCATAGAAATGGTCGAGAACCGAATCCATCATCGTTTTGTAGTCCGGTTCGCTGAGAACGACTTGTCCGCGTCCGGCCTCCGGCCAGTCGAAAGGGTTGACAGTGTTAGATCCATCATCCCGGGGAAGTTTTGGGGAGGTATCTGTGGTCGTCAACGTGGCAATTTCTTCGGACTGGCTCGAGCCATTCTCCACTTTCAGCTCGCCCGAAATGGTGGAGTTGTCAGAGGAACCGCGTGTCTGACTTTCCATTGACGTCGAGTTCATCAGACCAGGAGGATTGATCACTAGCCACAGGAAGCCAACTAACCGACCAGCAGAACATTCCTGGCGGAAGGACATCATCTCCCAGAATTGGTCCAAGGACCGTACACTGCGCCAGCGTCCAGCATTGGGGGCGACAGGCTCACCTTCCTTCGATTCAGGAAGTTCACTGTCCAGGTCGACGAGGAAACGAGTCTTGGGATCGTCGGGGAAACGAGGCACTAAGCAGCGGGGAGGAGCCGAAGGGTCGTGGTACAATTGCTTCAGTGGGTAGCTGTTGAGCCACCGTGGGCGATCCTGTGCATCGGTCTTGGCCGTAGGCGGAAAGAAATTGCGCGTTTCAAAGCGGTCGCAGCTTGGAACGATCAAGTATGCGGTGGCAGAGGCCTTGGCAGCTTCGACTGTTTGATCCAGCGCTTTCGTCTCTTGAAGAGCAGACTCTGGCTCGTGCTCGCGTAAAATCGGATCGAGAACACAACACCACCACTTGATTAAGCCTCGATCGTCCAGAACATGCTTTTCGGCGTTCTCAATACTGCCCGGGAATAGGTACTGATTCTGGGCGCGGGCGAACAGCGACACGACCAGGCGTACACCGGGCCGCTGGCGGGTTCGCGCCAGAAATGAGAGAAATGTATTTGAGACCAATCTCAGAACAGAGACCTTGCGCGGTAATTTTAGGAGATGCAGGAGACCAGTCGAGTCGGCTTTGGAGATGAAGATGGTGGTCAAGTGGGCCGTGTTGTAGACCATCACCTCCATTCCGAAGATAATTGTTTCACCGTCATCATTGGCGTCAATTGACACGGAGAGGAAATGATTTTCGCAGAATGTCGGCTCGGAGACCTGGCCCGGCGCAGCTGCAAAGAGAGCCTCGCAGGGAGTAGGAGTTGAGGAGACATGGCGAACGGTGATCTCAACCCCCGTGGGGAGTGCCTTGGCCAAGAGATCTGCCAGATCTACCGCCATTATTGTTCGTCCAATTAGAGTCGTGGAAAAGGTGAAGAGAGGAGCTGAAGACGGAGCTCGATTTCACACCCTTGAAGATCACGTGCCAGGAACATATTTGTACCGCCAGTCCAAGGGGGTCGATATACAGACATTTGGACATCTTTGATGCGGTAGTCCAATTGCGTAGGTGGTGATGAGGCAGTGAAGACTTTAGCAATGGGATTGAGGCTAGGTAGATGACCTTAATGAAAGAATGTGGCGAAAGGCTTATTGCATAGACTATAACGCTTGGTGCCGAGCATGCTATACTACGATGAATGAATATGCGATATTTGACGCGTTAACGCTTGTGCTCTCACCAGCTCTTGCACATTCACTCGCTCTTGCCCTTTCACCAACCTTTTCCACGCTTATTCTCTCAACCACAACTCAAATCTCACTCAATCCAAACTCTGCTACTCGTGGACACAAGCAGAATCAAACATACCATTGAAGGTAAGCAAGACTAATCAGATTAATCTTTCATTGAGCGGACCAATTGTACTAATATGTCATCGAACATGAGAAGCCCGGCTTCAAGTGTAACAGAGCCGCAACCCGGTCACACCGAGAGTACTTATCAAGATGTCTTACAACCCCCCCGGGGACTTCATAGGTAAGTCTATACTTGTGTCACCTCACTATAATCAGAATAGCCACTAATCATGCATCCTAGTGCCCGACATCAACACACAGGAAGTCTGCACTCAGTTGCAGATCCGTTACGCCTGCGGTCACTCGACAGGCGGCGAGTTCGTTAAATGCCCACGGCACGTCAAAAAAGAGGACGAACGCTGCACCAGCCGTCAAATCAACCATGTAGATGTCAAGAATTCGTCGCACAAGTGTCGCCTATGCCTGCGAAGTGAATGAGATATGGTATGGTATCCAATCGGCGGGAGTTGATGGTGAGCTTTATCTTGAGATCGTCGGAAGGGCGAAGACGAGGGTTATGGCATATGAATATCACATTGACAAAGGAGCCGATACTGTCTATCTTTTAATCAAGGAGAATCCGGAAAGAATCCGACTAGGGTTATTAACATAAATCCCTGTAAAAAGCCACACACGGGGCATTGATGTAATGGTACATAAGTGATAGTAGGACCTTGGTACCATAGTTGGGCCGGATGCCACTTAAAAGTAAGAAGCCACAGCATCTAGATCATCGGCATTGAGTAGAATGACTCCTTCTCTCAAAAGAGTCCTCCAGACAAGGTTTCGTGCACGAATCGGGAAGTGTGGCGTGTTCCAATATCTAGCCCCAATACCGCGCTCATTTGCGGTGGAAATTTGGTCCCGGAGAGCTTTGAGTTGGTCGTCTGAGAGAATTGGATCTGTATCGACAGTTATCTTGCCGACGGCTTCCCGGAAATTCGTCGAAGCAACAGGCGAGATAACGCCAGTTATATCGGCATATTTGGGATCATTGAGATCTGCCAGCGGCGCATCGAAGAAGTAGTCTCGGTCTTTGATGGGCGCTACCATATCGAACGGTGTCTCTCCGGTGCCAATGATGGTGACGGGTCCATTGGTAACGGTTTTGCCATCCTTGACGGTAGTTAAGTAGCCCTTCTCTCTTAGAGGCTCTAAAGCGGCAATTACCGCCTGGAACGTCTCGGGGCCGGATGTTTTCACATCAATGAAGAAGTAAAGCGTTTGGTCGGGAACGGTATCCCACACACCGCTGTTTCAAGAAAGCATTAGCAGTGAGACCATATCGGGTCCTGGCCAGATACTCACTTTTTAGTTGGCGATGATATAAATGGACTCTCGGGGTTCTGGCGCTCTAGCACGTCTAAAATTGGGTTGATATACAAGGATTCAAGAGTTCGAGACTCCGTCAGGGCGGATTCATCGTGGCCAACCTTGTCTAATTAGCATGCTACCCAGAAGAGCGCGCAAGGCATCATCGGTTAATTAAGCTCACATAGAGGGTGCCATTGTATAACCAGACATCGGCTTCGGTAGATGTGCAGCCATGTGAGAGACCTGTGCATGGTAATGTTAGGGATAATCAGTTAGATAGTAGAGCTCTGCATACCGGTATAGAAAGGCTCGTCTCGCCAATAGTCACTTTGGGATAATCAGCGGATGAACAAGTTTGGAGTGACCATGAGAAGTGTCCTTACTTATGAGAATGAACAGGAATCTAGAGATTCGTTGCATCCAGGGTTAACAATATTCCAGATGGCGGAAACCCCACAGAGTTTATCGATACATGGTGCCACAGATAGACTCACGGGTAATAGATCTCTTGTTAGATCAGTGGGATACCTATAGTCTGGGCTGCCATGGGTGTTTTTTAAGATGCTCTGTAGGCTAGAGGTGATCGCCCCGAGAGCTGGATCCGGACCCGCGAGGAGAGCCACAGCAACGCTAGAGAGGAATAACATGAAGGCAGAGGGCATTTAATGACAAGATCACCCGAATAATTGACCCGCCTTTATATATCGAGCTGGAGTTGAAAGAAGGTGGAATTCAATTGACTGAATTGGAGAGGCAAATTGCGATGACGATCGGAACCCGGACTCACGTGTTTCCACAAGGGGTATCCATAACATCGAGGTCGAACATTTTCCAAGTTAGTATAGAATGAATCGAGTTGATCATTTGAAACTGATTATATCTATCATGTGGTCGCTCTCTCGACTCTTAGAAAAAGAACAGCCAAAGGGCAATCAAAGTGCGACACCAATTAAGAGCTGATCGCACTGGTCATTTACTTGAGAGACTACAAGAAACCGAGAATAGTAATGTATGGTATTTGGCATGAATGGCAGACATGGATTTAAGAAGGTGCTAAAAACATGAAAATCGCAAGACCAGCACCGTCGTCATGGAACTTGAAGGCGGAAGACAGCGAGATTGTAGAAGAAAAGGTCTGATTATGAAAGAGACCCATACGTCACGGAAATATTGCCTTAAACCTCCCGCACACTTGGCGAAGAGGCAGCTCCAGAGTCTTGTGAGTTCCGACCCCGAAGGCTGAGGTTTCCGATACGTTGGACCAGGTTGCTGCCCACAGCATCAACTGCACCCTTGGGCGCAAGCAAAGTCGGGCCTTGAGCGGCAGCTTCTTGGACTCTGAAGAGTTTAATGGCTGTGCCGTTCCAAACACCAACTGTTCCTGGAGTTGCACCAGAAGCGGAACCCACTACCATCTCGCTGGAGAAGATGAAGCCCCACAGCAACGATTCGTACCAGCCCATGGAAAGTGCGGACCACTCGAATGATTGCACGCGAACCGGCGTTGGTTCGGAGATTATACTTGTAACCCCAGGCTCTTCAGCAAATGATGGAAGATTGTGGATTAGTGTACGGGCCTCCGGACTAGCAGCGCTGGCAAGCGCTGCATCGGGTATATGAGGTGCAATGGCTGAGATTATGGTAAGGATTGTATGCAATGGAAGCTCTGGCAACCAAGACTCGAGCTGGCAAATATTGTTAGTAGCGAAACATTTATTGGAAAAATGATTCGGTCTGCATAGACTTACCCATGGGACGGTTGGTGTGAAGCCACTAGGAGAGGGTGTGAACAAAGCAGACATGCTTGTTTGACTGGTCATGCTGTTCTGCCGGGAGAATGGAGGATGTCCAGCTGGTTTCTTTCCTCGTGCCTTTTCGGACATTCCTCGCACCTGCTGCACTCCGTTCTCATCAATGGTGGATGCCATGGAGGGTCTCCGTGAGGTATGAGTTGAGAATGATGATTGAGACGGAGTCTGTGCCCCATCTTCACGTTCATCATCGGAGTCATCATCGCCAATTGCAAATGGGCTGTTTTCTTCGGGGATCCTAGTCAACGGCGACCTGGCACCCGAAGGAGTATGTAGATCATCCTCTGACTGCGAAAATGTAGGGCTAATAGCGACATCTGAAGAACTGCTAGCTTTCTTCTTCTCATTCTGCCGCTCGATCTCTTGTTGGCCACTCTCGAGAGTGAAAGCCCGCACGGCCTCAAAGCGTTGCTTGTACTTCAGTATCGAGTAGACAAGATATGAGTTGTCTAGATAAAGTCAGAAGCTATGACCGAAAGAGAAGATCTGGGTAGGGTAATTACCGATGAACTTGTGCTCGAGGATGATGTTAATGAAGTCAAGCAACGATGCAAGAAGAGTATGATTGGATTCGTTCGCCAACAAGAAGCTGGGCGCGGACATAGAAGAGAAAAGCTGAATGACCTTTGAGCAGGCGCTGGGAGAAATATGTTCGATATAGGGAGCGATGTTGTTGAGGATGATCAGAAGTGGAGGATACACAGTGTCTAGGTTCCCCTTGCTGGTTGTCATCAACGTGTGAATTGACTGTGCTGGTTAGTATGGTATTATTTAGATGGAACAAAAGACAAACCATAATCAGATAGTCGGCATAAGATCCCCGGAACTTGAGCAGTCGGATCGATTGTGGTAAGGTCTCTTGAGCTTCGAAACTGTTGTTCAGGCTCTTCGCAAATGTCGACTCCGCACTCATTGTCTGAAGGATGAAAACGCACATCCGGACCACTCCTTGTTTGGAAGGATCCATTCTATATTCCATCGCATAGAAGATACATAGAACAAGGAAGTCATGGGAGCGATTGGAGTCGATGATAAATGACCGGAACCTTTTGTTGCATTGCAAGGTCTCCCAGAAAAGGACCAACATCTCAGGGGCCCATTTTACCGATTTTTGACTCCCAGGAAGATACGAAGCGGTAGCTTGCATCTAGTTTGATCAGTTAGCATAACTTCTTAATACACGAGTAAGCAGAGAATAAATACCGGCTGGTTCAGAATTCTCGTCATGCCATCCACCAGGAACTGGAAGTCTTGAGGTCTATGTAGCCTGCCGAAGTAATGGCGATAATAATTCTTCGGTGGTGTTCCACGGCCATCTTCTGGAATAGGATACATCAAAAGGACAAGAAGAAGTTGCACGCAATAAATCACCAAAATCTGCCTGGGATCTTTCCAAACAACGTGGTCATATGGGACTCTCCACGACGCGGGGTTATACTTCATGGCCTGTTTTGGATTAGCATAGCTCCACCGCCGATTGAGCAAAACATAACATACTGTATTGAGAAGAGAGCAAAGGAGGGTCAAGACAGCCTGCTTATCTTGGCATGTTGTGATATAAGTGATTGCCTTGACACCCTGAACGGGCAATGTATCTATACCAGTCAGTAAAAGTTAGAGTACCTTGGTTGTATCAGACTATGAACTCACTAGACGGCAAATACATGGCCTTTCCAGTCAGAGTAAGCATAAGCCGCAGAATCTCGCATCGGTTGCTCTCCAATGTTTTGTTAGACCCCATAGCCGTGTTACAGCCGACACCACTCTGCCAAATTGAAAAAGAGACCTTGCTCTTTGCAGTTGGAAGTCGTGGGATTGTGAAGTCAGCAAAGAAGAGCAAGTCCATCAATGTGTCTATCAACTCCTCAGCAAGAGGCTTCAAATCTTCGTAATCCTCCGCACGCGGTGATGTCGCCTCTTGGTTACCCTCCGATTGTGCTTCGTCGAAGAGTACCTCCCCAGCAATCTGTGATTGTCTTGTCCTTCTCCTTCTCCGTGTCCAGAATACATTATCATCCCATTCCTCCAGATGCTCCGCCTCGTAAACATAGGGGAGGAGACGAGTGAGGATCCGAATGCAGTTGAGGACCTCACGCTCGGGGGCAAGATCGGGGTCGGGGAATGAGGGATGGTTTCTCAATACAGTCAGTCGTGATGCGACTGCTAGTATGAGTGTTTTGAAGTTGGGCAAGGCATGATCGCGTGTGCGTCGTATGTCAGCCGGTGTGAAAAGGCTAAAGACATCTTCGGTTGATTCAGGAAGTTCCCAGAACTGCCACCGTGGTTAGCCTCCAAGTCTCCAGGACATACAGTCAATATGTATCAGAACGTACTCGGGTCCAGTAGGGGTCGTCTGCGGGGATCTCCTGTTCCTCGGAGAGGCGGAAGATACCCTGTTTGAAGACAAGCTTGGACTCCGAAGCTCCCATAGCAAAAGGAAAGAGCTAGTAGTCACGCCGTTCTCGGTTTCATGCGGATTTTCACAGCAAATTTCGAAGTGTAAGTGATGCGAGGGCGCTTTCTGCCTGTTTATTTGCCGAGTGCTAGAAGTGGTTGGCGGTCCTAATCGTCCGGGCGCGGGATCTTGGCTTGAACACGGGGTATGGCAGATAGACCGAATGCCAACAGTACGGTTTACAGTAGACGGTACTCCGTACATATGATGAGACATCACAGCAGAATGATACCTCATCTTATATACATCTCCTTATCCTATTCTGACCTATTTGTTGCCATGTATCAAAAGGCACTTTTAGCATCCATAGGGAGGACGGAAAAAATATCCAACAGCCACCGGTTTCGGTTTCTATGAACAACACGAATGTACGTCAAATGAAACGAGCCTGTAATAATAAGCGCGAATTGGTATCCTTGAAATACATTACGAATGAAGCAACCGCTATGACATTGAACACGTTAAACACCAAAACCATGAATGACCCAAGTGCCCGTTCGCAAGTTTGTCCAGAAAGCTGGAAAGAATCAGGGGGCTCCTCCGCTAGCCGAAAGCCGGCGGCTCCTCTCATATAGCCACTTGTTCTTGACCCCCAGACTTCCTCGTTTTCCCATAAGCGGGGAAGGTGTGCCTGGGCCCATGCTCATGGTCGACTCTCCAAAGGAGTTACTTCGAGTCAGAGGGGACGAGGATCCAAAGCTCTGGCGTTGAATAGATTCTCTGCCTCCATTCGACATCGCTTTGTAAAGCAGGGGGCTGGATACAGGCGAGAAGGGTGTGCTGATGGAAGAGCGACGCTCAGAAAAGCTTGCATTCGCGGAAATTGGGGAGGGCTGTCTGCTAGCAGGACTGGCCTTGCGTGAAGAAAGCCGGTATCTGGGTGGGGTAACAAATACTGTTCCAGGCGTTGCTGGTGGTGTGGCAGCAGGATCCAAACCAAGAAGTGAGCGCTGGGTGGGGGTAAGGGGAATGTCGGAGAGGTCGTCCGTTGGCCGGAAGAGGGGAGAGAGGGCCACTATAACATTGAAAACGAAGAAGAGTTGGAGAATGAGTAACGGGATTTCTTGATAGATATGGTTGGTATCGAGTATTTGGCGTAAGCTTAAATAAGACCGTTAGCACGCGACGCGACGGATCAGAGTTCTTATCGCACTCACTAGCTTTTGAAGGTAGATCCAAATGTCCAGCTCAGTATCAAAGCTGCGCCGTTCCAAACGAGCTTCTTCACATTTTTCTGATCAAATGTAGCTGCATTTTGCCGCCGAACGATCTCTTCCAGTTGAGGGTGTCGCCATTTTCCAGGGGTCAGGGTACCCTCTGGAGTGGGAGGAGGCAGCGGAGGTGTCGCTTTCGGGGTGGAAGGAAGAAATTGAGTGGCCATTGCTACCGTGGTGAAGATGATGTCGAGAGTGCAGAGTGAGGTGAACTTGACTGGAGACTAGGATCGTGAAATCAGCTACTGATCCGTAGATGCGTAGACTGTTTTTTTGCGAGGTCTTTTTGACAAGAGGGATTGGACTCACTGATATTATGAACTAGTTTAGTACTTACCTAGAAGAGAGCAAACACAAGCAGCTGTCAGTTAGTAGTGCACGTAGCAATGAACAATTCTTCTTTCAAAAAGTCATTATTGTTGTTGTTTGGCTATAAATTGACGATCCCAAAGTGGCTGCGCTCGGCGCTCAAGGAAGGGGTTGCACGGGCATAAGTTGACCCGGCCAAGCTGACACACCTTATCGCCGTGCCCCTCAACGTCATAACTAACTAGTTGCTGACTGTTGACACTTCTTCATCTTCTGCTCCCCATATTGACCAACTAAAATGGCTGATACTTCACTTGTGGAGAAGCTGGATACCTTGGTGGCCGATGTTCTCGCCGACTGGAATATCTACACTACCATTGTCGCCGGGATTGTCCTCGCTTTTGCGGTTTACTCTGTCGTCTCGTCTCGGGATCCAGATGTGCATCCGTTCTTACTTGCTCGCCAATCGACAGCAGCCCCAATCCGCAAGCAGGGTGAATCTGCTACTTATAGGTGCCTAGAAACCCCATATGGCTTACCTCTTCGCTTCGGACTAAACGTCAAGGACCCGGGCGCCCCGAAATGGACCGGCGGTCGAAGAGGAGACCTACGTGATATTTGGAAGACTGCTGTGCGTGGAGCTATGAATGAGGATGGTACTCTTTCGGGAAATCAAGGCAAGATTTACACGGTCTTGGGTCGAAAGGCCGTCGAGCACTCTTTGGACGAGGTGACGCAAGAAATCAATGTCATCGGTCATCATCTCCAAACTTCCGGCGCGAAAACGGTGGCTGTTTGCCTTACAGACTCTATCGAGCTTTTAGCTACAATCTTTGGTGCGTGCCTTATCATCCTAGGTGTGAGTCTCGATGTCTAACCTTGCGCAATATAGGTGGTGCATTCTATGGATACGAGACGGTCATTGTGCCGCACAACCTTCCAGCCGAGACATTATCAGCACATCTTCAACAGGTAAAAGCGGATGTCCTTATTGCTGAAGCCGGATCTCTGGACCTTTCTCTCGTCGCCAAGGGTAACAATCAATTGACGCTCGTCCTTTGGGTTGCCAAGTATGGCAATCAACACATGGACTGGAACGCACTCCCCGAGAACGTCGAAGATACTCTGAAGGTTGCAGTTTGGCATGAACTGGTCGAGGAGTTCAAAGAAATCGCTAGCTATGATGTGCCTCAGTACGACCCAAAGACAGCAACCCCTGCCGTCCACACTGTTTGGCCGTCTTCCTCACAATCCGGCCAATTTATCGATTTCCAGCCAGAGGTAAGACCAGCTCAACTTGTCAACTTGTCTGATATTACTTTCACTGACATTCAACTAGAACTTGGTGTCTGCCATCGGAGCATTAACCTCCGCCCTCCCTCGTACTCAGCGTTTCAACCCAACCGACATTGTTCTTCCTATCGACTCTCTTTCTCGCACCTACCCTCTCTGCATGACTATGGCTGCACTGTTTGCCAACTCATCCATCGCCCTGAACTCTGTTGCTGGAGAGGATGTCGATTTCGCTTTGGCTACAGCTGGGGTGTCTCCCACAGTCATTATTGCCTCATCTCAAACCATGGCTGAGTACCACGACAATATCATGCGCCCGCACACTGGTATCATTTCCTCTCTTGGACGCTGGCTTCAGGCACGGACTTTAGATGCAGGAAACATGCCGACGCGCAACGTTTTCAGCCAATTGGCTCGTGTCAGTCCGACATCTGAGCTTTCGCTAGATGAATTGCGCTTGCTTTGCATCTCCCACCGTATCGATGGCGACCCTGCCGTCCATCTTACCTCTGAACAATTGACCGACCTTAGAATCTTCACCGGGGCTCGGCTTGTGTATGCCTTGACCGGCCCCGGTGTTGCTGGTGCGATTGCGCAAACAAACGCCTTTGATTATAGATGCCTCCCCGGTCCTAGCCACTTTGGCGCCCCGCTGAGTAGCACTGAGATTACTCTGACCAATATCCCTGAAGACTCCCCTTACGGCACAGAAGAGGGACAGGTACGTCGAGTCCAATTCCGCCACTTTCATATAGAACTAACATTCACGTCTAGATCACCGTCTCTGGCCCTGCTGTTGTCGGTGGCACCGTCACTCTTCCTGAACGAGGCCATATCAGCAAGGACAATACCTTGGAATTGTCTTCCTGAGCGTATCAATCCCAAAATAGCATTCTTTATAGCGTACTTGAAACTTGAACTGCCGGGACATTTGGTAATGAGTTTGTGTATATTTCATCAATAAATTTCCAACTATATGTATAAATGTTTGGCTGCTAGTTGAGCCTTTAGTAGTCTATTTAGATGTCTTCTCGGATGACACGGCTGTCCTACGCATTGCTTTTATCAGATTGCTGGTGACATGATAAAGATTACTTGGAAGAGTATGTTCTGATGACAACCCTTAAAGACTCTCACCGTCCAATATGAGCTCTCCATGCATCAGAACGCATTTCTTGTATGGGATTCATATCTAACTCGGACAGCGAATGTCATTCCTTGTTCAGGGCAGAAATCGAAGTCAGTATCCAACAAGTGGTTGAGAACAGAAAGAAGCTGTCGGTTGTCGGATTAAGCGTTGAAGAGTCGGGCAGCGGCGAGTGTTTTGAGGCATAGGCGCTAGAATAGAAAAGCTCAAAGTTGTTTGATATCGCAATTTATAAACACAGATGAAGTACAAAGGTAGTAATACAGCCACATGTATGCAAATGAGGGTCACGCCGGACGCCCTCTAACTCAATCACTGCCGGCGATTGCCGCCACCCAAGAAAGCCTTCTTCTGGCGAACATAGTTGGCCACAACATTCTCCACGCTGCGACGGTCGTGCTTGCGGTCTCTCAAGAAGTACAATCTCGCCCTTCTGCGCTTCTTCTCCGATCGCTGGACAATCTCCACGCTGTTCACGTTGGGACTGAAGACCTTGATGGACATCTCAACAGCGACACGAGTAAGCTCGTTTCGCAGAAGGAATGACGTTTCAATTCCGCGCAACTTGATGCTCAGAACAATTCCGTTGAATGGGTCGCCGTTCTTGAATGTCACTCGTACGATATCGCCCGTCTTGACACTGCGCGGGTTTCGTCGGTAGTCGAACATGGCCTTGCGCTCACCGGTAGGATCGAGGACTGCCAATTGCGATTCGGTAACTGCTGCAATGGGGTCTTTGCATGCTTTGCGAGCAGATGGCGGAGCAGGGTAGATCTTGAGGGGCTCACGCTCTATATGAGATAGCGACCATTAGTACAGCTCGCGTCGTTTCACTCGATTGGAAAGGACCTACCAGGATCCGGACGAAAGCGAAGAGGTATTTGGGATAGGAATTGCTCAGGCATGTTTGGGGGAAGAGGTACCCGTTCGGGCCTCTTCGAATAGGCCGTTGAAATGAATCGACGGTTGATGAAGGGTTGGATAGGCTCCGAGGCCCGTAGCAAGGACCTTAAGCAGCCCAGCGGGCGCATTGCTGGTAGAGCCGCCATGGTTGTGATGAGGATGTCAAGTCAAGAAAGTCGGAGTCGAGTTTTGGCCGGATCGGCAGAATTTCCGCCAAGCCTTCAATTGCCCGTTCGGGTTGCAGATAACAGCGATTCTTTTTTCTCCTCCGATTCTACGATACCGATCCACCTCGTTTTCTTGTTCTTACTTTGAGGGAAATTTATCATTCTATCAGCTACTACTCTCATACCCTGCATAGCTTCATATATAGCCTCTGATCACACATGATGGCGCAAATCGCCATGAGCAGGCTCTTCCGCCAAAGCACCACCGGCTCGGTGCGCCAGTCTATTCTGAGACCGATGCAGGCCCGCAGCTATGGTTCGAACTCAGGTATGTATTAATAACCGATCTATCGTGGTGTCAAATTCTCATCGGAGGCGTTCGGAACAGTAATCCCAACCTTCACCTCAACATCCTCCCCCGAGTTAGACGAAGCCCTGGAGCGGTTCCGCAATGAACTCTTCATACCCCTCGCTCTTCCCAAGCGACAGAGAAAGAGCGTGTTCAGAGAGAAATACGCCAAACAATTGGAAAACGAGCCGATTACCGTGAAGATTGGCGAGACCGAAGAGTTCACCCTAACGCCCAAGAAGCACCACGATCTGCCATCGAAGAAAGACGCTCTCGAGGTTCTCAAGTTGATGGTTGCGACCAAGAACTACAGCAACCTTTTCCCGTACCTCAGTGGACTCCGGATGTCAAACTATGCCATCAACAGCGACCGGTGGGAGTTCATCATTCGCAAAACCAGCGCGGCTAGCAAGCTTTCAACCATTATCGAGTGTGCCAAGCAGTCCCATCGCACCGGCTTGACTCTCAGCAACAGGAACATTGCTCGCCGTCTGTTCTTTGAGCTTCACAAGACAGCGGCGAAAGCGAATTTCGAGGGAGCCCCAACCGTCAAGGCTCTGAAATTGGCGAGGGAGGCAGCTAGCCTGATGGATGCTGATGAACACTCCGTTCGGAACCTTGAGGATGACCCCAAACACCAGCCTTTCGTCATCGGCACGCTTTTGGAGCTCAGTGCCGCCTGTGCGAAAATCGATGAGACCCAGATAGGCTTAGTCCGTAGCTACTCTCAGAAGCTTGATGCGGCCTGGTCCCGAGGAAATTTCCAGGACGACGCGTCCACTGGCTTTGAGAACATCGAAAGAGTCGAGGAGAACCTTGCCGTTTACAACGGCATGCGTTTGGCCCTCGAGTTGCCCAGGGCATCACATGACACTGGGAATTTCCAGGCTCGCTGTGATAAGCTTAAGCCTATCCTGATTTCGCAGTTGGAGAAAGTCAAGAACGCCGATGTGCTTGCAGACAATGTGGTTAAACAATTGCTTGCGGACAAGCCCAAACAAAAGATCGAGACGAACGCTTGAGCTATGTTGTGATTCCTTTTGGTGTTGATTGAGCCACATCGGCGTGTATAATACTGTACTTCCCGGATATTTTTGAGCTGGCTGTGTATTTCACAAAATAGATATCTTATTTCTGCCACATCTGATCCTGCAAGGTGCTATTTCCTGTCAGTCTCTTCCAATGACCGTGAACGACACATTTTGGTCGTAGTGTGCAGACATAATAAACTAGATGATCCTCACAAATGCATACCAGATCGGTCATATCAGATTTATCTTACGGTTTCTTCCGAGTGGGAAGTGCGAGTAAAGCGTCGGTTAGGGCCACAAGGTCACATGCATGGTGCTATATACTACTATATACTACGCCTCCCTCAGCTTTCGATAATTCAACCCACGTAAGGCAGGTCTGCAGGCAGAGATCGCTAAGTACGGCTTTAGCACTAAGCGAACCAATTTCGTCAGTTTCATCATCAGCACCGAAGGAATTGAGGTGAATCTAGCCGATAGACGTTGTCACCAACTGGGACTTGGAGGAGCCCTTAATCACCACTCTATTTTCGTTTGAAAAAATAAAATTTGCATATTCATCAGCGGTCGCATCATCATGAGTTCAATTCGTGCGTATTCATCCATTTCTTTACAGCATCATACTAACTAACCGTAGGACTGTCATCCCGATCCGACCGTGGAATCAAGGACGGTATAGGTCGCGTAAGCGCTACAGCTACCATACGCTATTACATAGTATTACCTATAGCAAAACTATCGCTGCCCCCCGTCGCCGTTCCTACTGGACTCCGTATCGTCGCGCCTACCGAGAGGGAGAGCCTCGGGATCGTCCGAGAACACAGCACTTTATTTCTTTGCGGCATCATGCTAACCGAATTTGATAGGCCACAGAAGTACTGTGTTCTCGGACGATCCCGAGGCTCTCCCTCTCGGTTGGCGCGACGATACGGAGTCCAGTGGGAGCGGCGACAGGGACGATGATGCGACCGCTGATGAAGATACAAAGAAAAGATTTCGAGCGAAAACAGAGTGGTGATTGAGAATTGGATTGAATGTTTACTGCAATGAACCTGGGGGGATTTATAGGAGATTCTAATCTCTCCCGTCGTCTTACCTAGAAGAGCGTTTCTTTGTTTGCATTCCCTTACGACCCACCTCTGGTCTTTGAAGCCGGCATACTGACGTGTTCGCTAACACAGCCCCGTTCGAGCCTTTGAGAACACGAAGCGAGGCTTCATATCTGAGAACCGTTTGTCGGGCTCCTTTTGCCTTTCTTTTTGTTGATTGAATACAGCAGTTTGAATTTTTCTTCCCTTTTTGTTGTTGTCGAACAGAGCATTTACTTTCGCCAAGCCGGAAATACGACCCGAAACAAACTATATAACAACAACACATGTGTTTATCTTGCACTAGAATTGGTTATCAACACGAAAAAGCCTTGAAAATTAGAGAGGGGGTATAATATTTGATAGCACGGCAGTGTCCATCAAGTCTTCCACGAATATAACTGATAGAAAGCATACAATAAAAAGTATAAGCAGTAGGGTATATAGCAAAAGTAGCAAAACATGACCTGGACACATAGAAATATTCGTAAGATAAAAAGGAAATGTTAGCCCAGCAACTGGCGATACTCTGATAGATATAAGGTCGTGTGATGGCAGAACTGGGAAAAATGTTCCGGAATCATGTCATAAGACAAAAAAATAATATCACTTTCCATCGTAGATTTGGTCGGGGGTGAGTGAAAACTGGCCTTTCTGGATCTCTCTCGCATCGACTTGGTCCGGCTTGACGTATCTCGCGGTCAAAGCAAAGCGCAATTTGTTCTCAGGTACCACCGAATGCTGTATTGGTCAGATTTGACTTTCAATGTTGGTAAAGAGTAGAAAACCACAAACCTCGTAGTATTTCTGGAGATCCTCTCCGTGCATGACAACAAGATCACCATGATTAAGTTCCATCTTGATGGTAACTGGGGCCTCTCTTCCCTTGCGGCCCATTGCCAGAGCACGGCGAGAGTCATCATAATCAGATTGCGAGATCTCACCAGCATCGAACTCCTCCTTCAGTGTCCGCCGTTCACCCTCAAACATGCAGTCTTTCAGAACAGGGTCATTCTGCAGAAGGGTCCCAATTTGCCTGGGCTCAGCCCTTCGGGTAGAGCCATTGAAATACTTATACTTCATGCGGACGAACATAGTTGCTTTCGCTCCAAGAGACAGTGTGGCGATACTGGGCCCCAGCGAGGACTCGCCGTCATCATGGAACTGATAGAAGAAAATTTAGCACAGATTATTCTCAATTCACAGCTCTGACTTACTCCGATCTTCATTTCCTCGAAATAGCCGAGCGTCAGTAGCTCATTTGGAGGCAGGTATTTATCTCCAGAAGAGATGACTGCCTTCTCAGTTGCCCATGACAAACGGCCCAGAGCCTGGAGCATGTCATTAGGTGCTTCATCGAAGCCCTTGGAATCGACAGATACGACATATTTGTAGGGCATACCCTGTGTAATCTCGTCAGATAGTGGACACTAAAATGTCAAGGTAATGTTGTCACTTACATAGTTGACGGCGAAATGTGAGGTCAATGTACCCGCAACTGTTTCAATGTGAGAAATATTTCTGAAGCTTGGATCTGGCTCACTTACCTAGACTGGACTGAAGCTGAAATCGTTTGAGGCCAAGATCATCACGTTGGAGATTGATGAACAGGTCGTCTGGTCCATTCGCACGGCTATTGATAGCTTTGTTGGACACAAAATGGGTAATCGAGCCAACTCCATCAAGTTTGTAGGTCAACTTTCGGTAAGGAAAGAAGGTCTTGTCGTCAATCTCTGGAGTGTTAAACTTCCGATCAAAAATAATTGCTCGCTTGATCGGGGCCAACTCGAAATGATCGAGGACGACTCGAAGCGAAACGGGCTTCATGTTCATGAACTTTTGAAAAGGGCAGCTTTTCGCACATTCCTCGCCAATAGAGTCATCATCGCATTTCCAACCTCGCCAGAAAGTTCGTCGGATACATTTGAAACACATAGGGCACACAATTCCCTTCCAGGCAATACGAGCTGTGCTAACATCCGCGGCATTCTCATCCAATGTCAACAAAAGATCAGGGACTAGACTGTAGTGTGGCTGGATTTCTGGGTCCGGAGGACTGCGAAAGCTCAGGAAATCAGGATTGAAAGTGAGCTCAGCGGGAGGGGAAGCGTTTTCAATCTTCCAGAAGTCGACGCAACTAGGGTCAAGGCACATCCACCCATCCTCGTACAAGCGAATACTTTCCGTAGAGCATCTCTCACACTTGAGGGTTTCGGGCTTTGTTTCAAAGTCCCGTCCATGAAGGGGCACTGGTGGGAGAGAGTACTTGGCCGCCCACCAGCTCTTTTCCGCGAGGTTCAGTTTCTCAAAGCGGACTTTGACTCCGTGTTTCTTGCCAATCTTTTCAAACCAGACATTGGTAACACGAAACCAGTCCATAATGTTGTACCGATGCGGAAGCTCTCGATTGAGAATCTTGTTCTTGCTCCCTAAAACGGTGATTAGCGGATTCCTTTAAAAAAAACCCTGATAAATTACCAATAACAAGGCCAACAGCAAGCTTGGAGTTTTGGCTGGCGATGATGCTTTGGACGAGTGAATTCTCCGGGTCTTGGTTCTTTTCGAGTGTCAGGTTTCCCTCCGAATCCTTGGTACAGCATCCACCGCTAATAGAAGTTAGTATAGGCAAGTCGTTACTCTGAACAAGGAATCCTTACATTCGGGTAATGATGATCTCCTCATCGATATAAGTGCGGGTACCACCGTCAGCATCAATGAGGAAGCCATAACAGAAACCTTCATTATGATACATTGCACCTTGGGTGCAGCGAAACCAGGGAATAGCATCACAAAGTTGTTGCCGACCCTGGCAGAAAATTCAGTATATATCCATATGGGTTATAAAAGATGACTAGCAGCATACCTCTGACCAGGCTGGTGGTGTTCCATAAACCGGCTCAAGAGCTTGATCATTGACAGCAACTTGCTGGTCCGATGAGACTGTCCGGTATCAGTATGGTATATTCAATAATAACAGTAAAACAAAGACATTGTCACCTTTGCTGGCTTGTTCTTTCTTTGTTTTGGCGATCCGGCCTGTTCGCACTGGTCTTTGAACTGCCTGGCGACGATTGACAGTAGGGCGTGGTGCCATCTTGCACAACTGTTGTGCAAGCAAGCTAGTTTGCTATGAATTAAGTAAGTATTGTCCCAGAACAGATTCAAACTGCCAACAGAATCATATTCGGGAGTGGAGGTTGATCGTCAGACTCACAGTACAGAGGGCCCAATGGCATCATATAAGGTAAATTGGTGTTCTAATTGTGCTCAGTATAATTCTTCAGACAGTACTCAGCTTTGAGTAAGGATCTAATGCTTGAGAGGGATGAAAAGTGTCAGTGGATGGGGTGAAGGGTAAGACGGGAGGATGATAGAGCTGGGTGAGGGCCCGATATATATTTTGCCAGAGCGGCAGGGGCGAAGCTGGCAGTAAACTTTGGAATCACGTTACAAGATGAGCTAATCATGAGGAAGTCCATTGCTGATGATAAACTTTAAAGTACAAGCAAATGGCATTATGTTAATTTGATATGAGAAGGAGACCGAGAACCCCCCAAGATTGATACCACAATGAGAGCACAGATTTCGTTGCTGACAGCCCATTGGGCTTGTCCTAGGCAGGAGATACTCAAGATATGATCTTCTCGGTTACAGGTGGCTTGCATATGAACTAGATGACTGGAATATGGGCTACTTGGGTAAATGATTAACAAGGATATGCACGCCATAACTTACTTCAACTCCACGTCCCATAGCAGTAGATTATGAAAAACACCTCTTTACACTAGCTATGAATTACACAGAGGTCACCAGGGCAATTTAAGTTTCAGAAGTGCAAGTAGAAATGATATGGTGATTCATGTGTTGCCACAGCACACGATCATCAAAGAACCAGGGAGGCTGGGAGTGAACAAAGAACTGCAATGTCTTTGTTCACCAGGAAGTCCAGAGCTGCCTGCATGACATGTGACATTGACATCGACAGGGAAGGTGCACGGCACCTAGGAACTTGAGGAAGGTACGTGTTCCTGGGGGTATAAAAGGTCTCCTCCCCCCATTTCTCTTCTTCTCTTCTTCTTCTCTCCTCCCCATTCCTCTGACCACCATCTCACCGTAGCCCCCGAGACAGCGTTGACAGAGGGACCCGTAGCACATGCTGCTTGACCTACCACAGGGATCATAACATTACCTTGTTTGTTATGAGGTCCATGTAGGTCTGCATCAGATATCAAACCGGGCGTTCTCGTGGATGTTCCTGAAGTCGTGGCTCTCATTGCCATTTGACAAGTCCCACAGAATACATGAGGGGTGTAAATCTTCGTAGCCGAGGACGCGAAGGTAGTCACCAGATACATTACTCATTCGTCTGGTTTGTCCTATATGTTGAAGTATTATTTAGTGTATTTCGAGAATAGTGAAATGTTATTGTCTAAATGTGACAAGTTGTCGTTTCATTCTGTAGATAAGTAGATAATGGCTTCAAAAAATAAAGTGTTGGCGCCGTTGAAGATATCCCGGGAGCGAAAGCGGGCGAATGGGATTCGAGTGATCTGCACGCCAAGCCCACACTTTAAATCCCACGAGGATTCTGCTGTTTATTGAAGTTTACGAGACAGAGTGCTTGATTGCTTGGTTTTCGGGAAAATTAGGGCTTGCCATTCATCGTGAACCAGATTTACACCTAGTACATCCTTGGCAGCTGAAGTTGATGGATACATATTGATGATACCCTCGGATACGTATAGACCGAGGCATAAAGTACTAGCGGCATCGTGTCGTTGGAGAACCTCGCAGGTTTGCCGAGCTTCCCCGCATCCGTCACTTTTCCATTAAATCTCCCCTCAGCTGCTTCCAAGGTTATTGCCTAGTCCACGTGTGTTCGCTAGACCCCTTGTTTATTCGCACTGCCATATATATCAACTGTGGGTAA